TTTTACACAAATTTAGGCCAAAATGTATTCTGCTACATTTCTTTGGTGAAAATAACCCAAATCAGTGTTTATTTACTTGGTAGGATAGAGTCCACAAACTATGGTATACATCTAAAAATTGATAAATCCTGATGTACTGATGGCTGATCTCATTTCTTGAGGCTCAAAAACAACAGTACAGTACAAATACCCCCAAAATGACTGATTTTTGGAAAGTAGAGAGTCTGAGGTATTTAGTAAGAGGCACGGCAAATTTTTTTTGAAGTTGTCATTTTCTGTCATAATTTTGTGGAAAATGGGGAAAAAAAGAAAACAAAAATCACAATTTTTTCTTTTTTCATACTGTTGCCATTTTAGTACAGCGTCCTTATATAACTGGCACGGTGGTGATTAGGGACACTGACTGGCAACAGTATGTAAAAAAAAAAATATATTTTAGTTTTTTTTAATTTTACATTTTTTATATATATTTTTTCCTACTCCCATGACCAGAGCAAGTTACCATAGTAACATTGTACTACTCTGGGCAACTGATCAGGATTTTTTTTATTACACATTATGATTACTTATACAAATGAATTTTATGGTATAAGCAAGCATGTTGACTGATTAAACTGATTAATGCAGTAGATTTTGTTGTGATCAGCTGTGATAGGCCATAGCTGATCACATGCTACAGGTGGGCTGTGCTTGGCCCAGTCTGTACATGTGATCACTGTGACCAATCACAGCTCATAGCACAGTTGTAAGCAATGGCATGAAAGGAAGACATTTATTGCTTACAACTGTCATGTGATTGGTCACAGCGATCCCATTACACTGGCAGTGGGCCCATGTAGTGGTCTGTCATTGGCCGCGTCCCGTGGTCACAACTGGTGACAGATCGTGCCGGAGCGCAGCCCGTGGGGCATGTGCGAGGCATGATCCTGGGAGGGGTTGGTTGGGAACGCAAGCAAATGTGACAGCATTCCCTGCATGCCACAAATATAACTGTTTTTTAAATTGTTAAATCAACGAGTTTGGTCCTTTATGTGCAGAATACATTCTCTCCTGTATTAACCAACACCTAAAGTGATCAATGCAAGGAAGAAAAAAATAAAACAAATTAGAGCGCAACTGAACTTTTTTTTAAATTAATCTTTATTTTTTTTTTTTTTTTTTTTTTCTGTTTTTTTTGACTGTTGGCAGATAATACAGCTTTGCATGACAAATTCAAATCATATTTGAACATGTATATCAACACTCGAACAACCCAAATTCTATGAGCAAAAAACAATATAAAGCAAAAAAAAAGAAAAAAGTTTTAAACAATGGTCACAAGGCAAAGAGCGCAGGTATAATGTCAGAACTTTCCAGTCTTCAGAAGCCACTGGATAAGATAGTACGGATGCACTGTTACCATTTTTATTTTTTAATTGAGTACAAGTACTGATACTTTTCATCAAGTACTTGCCGATACCAGTTACCAATACTTTGTGGTGCATCTTGTGTTAATGTACGCAAATTGCACCGCAAAGATTAGAATGCGATTTGAATAGGAATGCGATGTCCAGATCACATGTGGTTTCCCCACTGCTCCTGTGTGAACCTAGGCTTGTCATAGCCCGAGTATACAAAGGAGCCAGGGGCGCATTTACCACAAAGCAAATAAGGCATTTGCCTAGGGCAGCATTTTTCAGGGGGGCAGCACTGTCAGCAAAGTTCCACTGACCGCCAGCACAAGGGGACAAAGTTCCACTGACCACCAGCACAAGGGGACAAAGTTCCACTGACCACCAGCACAAGGGGGCAAAGTTCCACTGACCACCAGCACAAGGGGACAAAGTTCCACTAACCACCAGCAGCACAAGGGGACAAAGTTCCACTGACCACCAGCACAAGGGGGCAACGTTCCACTGACCACCAGCACAACGGGGGCAAAGTTCCACTGACCACCAGCACAAGGGGGCAAAGTTCCACTGACCACCAGCACAAGGGGACAAAGTTCCACTGACCACCAGCACAAGGGGGCAAAGTTCCACTGACCACCAGCACAAGGGGGCAAAGTTCCACTGACCACCAGCACAAGGGGGCAAAGTTCCACTGACCACCAGCACAAGGGGACAAAGTTCCACTGACCACCAGCACAAGGGGGCAAAGTTCCACTGACCACCAGCACAAGGGGGCAAAGTTCCACTGACCACCAGCACAAGGGGGCAAAGTTCCACTGACCACCAGCACAAGGGGGCAAAGTTCCACTGACCACCAGCACAAGGGGGCAAAGTTCCACTGACCACCAGCACAAGGGGGCAAAGTTCCACTGACCACCAGCACAAGGGGGCAAAGTTCCACTGACCACCAGCACAAGGGGACAAAGTTCCACTGACCACCAGCACAAGGGGGCAAAGTTCCACTGACCACCAGCACAAGGGGACAAAGTTCCACTGACCACCAGCACAAGGGGGCAAAGTTCCACTGACCACAGCACAAGGGGACAAAGTTCCACTGACCACCAGCACAGGGGGGGGGGGGGGTACAGTTTCACTGACCACCAGCACAAGCTAAAACCTTGCATTAATAAAAATGAATGTATTAAAACTCACAGCCAGTCCAATATATATATATATTCTTGGCAGCGCACTAACCGGCCATGCGAAAGCTCGGACAAGTCACTGCTAATGAGGCGCAGCTCATGACGTCATCACCTGGCTCCGCTACTCCTTTCTGAGCATGTGCATGGCCCCTATGTGCGCTGTTATCCAATGCTTGGCTTCTGATTTGGCTCGTGTGCCGACAGAGAGGGCTCCACGTGACCGCTGCGACACGCGTGCCATAGGTTCGCCACCACTGGCCTAGGCGATTGGACGTAGAATTGTCCCCCCCCCCCCCCCCAATAGTCTTCTGGGACACGTGACCATTCAGAAAGCACATCGCTACTCACGCAAGCTCAATGGGCTATGAAGCCACAAGCCGACACAGCCGGGTGCCCACACTGAAGATGCCGGTGTACCGGCGCTGGGAACACCGGACATCTGGTGACACGGGCTGCTTGGGGGGAACTCCGGACGGCTGGTAACACGGGCCGCTTGGGGGGAACACCGGACAGCTGGTGACACGGGCCGCTTGGGGGGAACACCGCACGGCTGGTGACACGGGCCGCTTGGGGGGAACACCGCACGGCTGGTGACACGGGCTGCTTGGGGGGAACACCGCACGGCTGGTGACACGGGCCGCTTGGGGGGAACACTGGACGGCTGGTGACACGGGCCGCTTGGGGGGAACACCGGACGGCTGGTGACACGGGCCGCTTGGGGGGAACACCGGACGGCTGGTGACACGAACTGCTTGGGGGGAACACCGGACGGCTGGTGACACGGGCTGCTTGGGGGGAACACCGGACGGCTGGTGACACGGGCTGCTTGGGAACACCGGACGGCTGGTGACACGGGCTGCTTGGGGGGAACACCGCACGGCTGGTGACACGGGCTGCTTGGGGGGAACTCCAGAAGGCTGGTGACACGGGCTGCTTGGGGGGAACACCGCACGGCTGGTGACACGGGCTGCTTGGGGGGAACACCGCACGGCTGGTGACACGGGCTGCTTGGGGGGAACACCGGACTGCTGGTGACACGGGCCGCTTGGGGGGAACACCGCACGGCTGGTGACACGGGCCGCTTGGGGGGAACACCGGACGGCTGGTGACACGGGCCGCTTGGGGGGAACACCGGACGGCTGGTGACACGGGCCGCTTGGGGGGAACACCGGACGGCTGGTGACACGAACTGCTTGGGGGGAACACCGGACGGCTGGTGACACGGGCTGCTTGGGGGGAACACCGGACGGCTGGTGACACGGGCTGCTTGGGAACACCGGACGGCTGGTGACACGGGCTGCTTGGGGGGAACACCGCACGGCTGGTGACACGGGCTGCTTGGGGGGAACTCCAGAAGGCTGGTGACACGGGCTGCTTGGGGGGAACACCGCACGGCTGGTGACACGGGCTGCTTGGGGGGAACACCGCACGGCTGGTGACACGGGCTGCTTGGGGGGAACACCGGACTGCTGGTGACACGGGCCGCTTGGGGGGAACACCGCACGGCTGGTGACACGGGCCGCTTGGGGGGAACACCGGACGGCTGGTGACACGGGCTGCTTGGGGGGAACTCCAGAAGGCTGGTGACACGGGCTGCTTGGGGGGAACACCGCACGGCTGGTGACACGGGCTGCTTGGGGGGAACACCGCACGGCTGGTGACACGGGCCGCTTGGGGGGAACACCAGAAGGCTGGTGACATGGGCTGCTTGGGGGGAACACCGCACGGCTGGTGACACGGGCCGCTTGGGGGGAACACCGGACGGCTGGTGACACGGGCCGCTTGGGGGGAACACCGCACGGCTGGTGACACGGGCCGCTTGGGGGGAACACCGCACGGCTGGTGACACGGGCCGCTTGGGGGGAACACCGCACGGCTGGTGACACGGGCTGCTTGGGGGAACACCGCACGGCTGGTGACACGGGCCGCTTGGGGGGAACACCGGACGGCTGGTGACATGGGCCGCTTGGGGGGAACACCGCACGGCTGGTGACACGGGCCGCTTGGGGGGAACACCGGACGGCTGGTGACACGGGCCGCTTGGGGGGAACACCGCAGGACCGAGAGACAGGCGACTGATTTTTGAAAGTCAGTAGCTACAGTTTTTGTAGCTGCTGACTTTTATTTTTTTACAGTGTGACTGGAACTCCACTTTAAAATTCATTTACAAAAAAAAATGGAGTGGAGGTTACGTGTTTCCTGTCAAAAGTGGAGCTCCAGTCTGCAGCAACACCCCTCTTCCCTGGGAGGTCACGTAATCTCCCAGCCTCCTGCAGTCACGTGAGCCGCCGCCGGGAAGGCTGCCAGTGTCGCCGTGTGATGACGTCTAGTTCGGGATTTGTTTACTGCTACGTGTTCGGGAAGTGGAGGCGGCCGGGGTCCCGGGGAGAGGAGACGGCAGCGGCGGAGGCCAGCCCAGGCCGGCACCATGAGCTGGTTCAATGCCTCGCAGCTCTCCAGCTTCGCCAAGCAGGCGCTGTCCCAGGCGCAGAAGTCCATAGACCGGGTGCTGGACATCAAGGAGGACGAGACTGCCTGGGCTGACGCCATTATCACCCCCTTCCAGGACGGTAAGGCAGTCCCCCATCCCCTGTTACCATGACAACTGCAGCTGGCACTCTTCCCCAGTGTGGAGTTCATAATATTCTCTTTAACCACTTCAATACCGGGCACTTATACCCCCTTCCTGCCCAGGCCAATTTTCAGCTTTCAGCGCTGTCACACTTTGAATGACAATTGCGCGGTCATGCAACACTGTACCCATATGACATTTTTATCAGTTTTTTCACACAAATAGAGCTTTCTTTTGGTGGTATTTAATCGCCGCTGGGTGTTTTATTTCTTGCTCTATAAACAAAAAAATAGCAAAAAAAAGTTTTTCTTTGTGTTTATTATAAAATTTAGCAAATAGGTCATTTTTCTCCTTCACTGATGTGCATTGATGAGGCGGCACTGATGTACAACAATGATGGGCACAGGTGGGCGGCACTGCTGGGTGCTGATCATCAGGGCACTGATCATCAGTGTCCTGATGATCATTGCCAATCCATCCTCTGTGACAGGGTGAGGAAAGTGCAGCCGATAACCAGCAACTGCATTTACCCGTGATCTGCTGTCATTGGACACGGCTGATCATGTGGTAAAAGGCCGCTGTGATTGGCCTTTTATCACAACACATGATCAGCTGTGTCCATAGGACACAGCAATCACGGAGATCGCTGGGTGTACGCCCCCCCCCCCCCCCTCGGGTGCACGCGGAAGGGTGCGTTCTGGAAGGACGTCGCTTTCAGTAGCGGGGGGGAGGGTACGTCCACTCCCTGACCCAAACCCCCCCCCCCCGGCCATACAAATCTCAACATTGTTTTAGTTACTGGACATATATGATATATACTGAGAAGGCAATATAGAACACCTCCTCACCATCCACAAAGAAAACATTCTCTACCACAGATTACCTGGGAGACAGCGAACTAGTTCTCTGGCCCAAATGCCTTTGAAATGTAACAATAATCCTCTGATACAATGAAGCCAGCTGCTTGGGAAAATCCATGAGAACGATTCTTTGTTGGCTACTCATAGCATTGCTATGAGTAAGGCTTTGGCCGAAATGTGTTACTCCTGTATCCTGCTATGTAGCCAATAAAGAATTGTTCCAGTGGATGTTACCGAGTAGCTGGCTTCATTGTATCAGAGGATTAATGCCTCCTCACCGCCTGCCAAATGCTGTCTGAAGAGCGCTTTAAATGCAGATCACTCGTGAGAGACCAGGACTCGTATAAATGGGCCCTAAAGATGTGTACCCCACAGGGGGGTGCTGATTCTTACTTGAAAAATATTACCTTAACGCATCCTCTGATCGTGAGATCACTGCTAGGGATGAGCTCAGGTGGGTTTTGACATTAATCCTATCCCACCAGGAAGCTGTCTGAGCGGACAGTCAATCATAGGTGGTGGGGGCATTCTGTATACATACTCCTTGCATATCTCCAGCTGCTGGGCGTTTAATGCCTCTGCCACCAATATTGGCCATCTGTTTTGACAGTTTCCCTGTGGATAGCTCATGCAGGTTTGGACTGATGTCCGAATACAGCTGAGCTCATCACTGAAGTTCTGGAGCTGGAACAAAGCCGGTCACAGAAGGCCAGTTGCTCTACAGCACCTCCAAACAGAGAATGTCTTGTGTTCATATCAGAGAACATAGGGCATTCTATGCTTGGAGTTTATGAATGTTACCATCTCCCTTTGCCACTGCTGCCATCTTCTTTCAGGTCCTGTGCTGTCTGTCTTTCTCCATTGGTTGGCCATGGATGATGAAACTCCCGCATATACACACAAGAATGACTTCACCCGAGCACCAGGTTGCAAACATCCAAAGGATGTGCATCCGTGTACAATTGTTTTTATTTAATTTTTTTGTGTTTTGGAGGGAAGGGTTCCAATTCCTATCAGATTTTAGGAAGAAAAGGAACAGAAAGTGATGACAAATCCAAAATTTAGCAGTTGTTACTAAAAAAAGGAATAGAGCAGAAATCTCCCAATGGGGCATTTGTTGCAGTGACAGCTAAGATGGGTTTTCTCTTTTATGTGATGTTATCTCACTGCCTGCTGTGTCTTCAGGGCTGGAAGTAAAGAGAAATCTGCCTGATGCAACAAAAAGGGCAAAAAAAAAACCCTTTCCCTATAACAAATGTTAGTTTTTTCACTAGAAATACACTTTGATCTATCATCGTGCAGGCTTAAGTAGGAAAGATTTAAAGCGGTAATAAACCCAAAAGCAAACATTTAATTTATTGCAGCTTACCACTTCTTAGATATGATGTTTGCTTTCGTTTCCTTTTTGTAGGTTTTCTTTCCTTTATTTTCACCTGATGATCCTGCCAGTAAATCTGTATTTTTTTTTTTTAACAGAACAAGTTTTCGCGTAGATGTAGCAGTTAGAGGGATGAGACAGATCATTTGCAACTGACAGGAGTGCTTGCAATTGTCATTTTTTATTTATGTAAAACCTTTATCCCAAAAGGAACAAACTGTTTGCTGTAACTGCTTCTAAAGTATTTGCTGGCATTTGGCTTCAATTTGTTATTGTACAAGTTTTGGAAAAAAAACAAACAAGGGCGCACTCTCATCGTGCATTACCGTGGTAATCCATGTATTTATTAATAAAAAAAGGATTATATACTCATAAACCAACGTGATAAAAAGCAGTAGGTGGTCCACAAAAACAGTCACAATATGGCTGTGTCTAGTGATGCGGATATGCTACGCGTTTTGGGAGCTGTACCCCCTTCCTCAGAGCTCTGGTTACCACGGTAATGCAGGATGAGAGTGCGCCCTTGTTTGTTTTTTTTTCCACTAGTGGCCAGATTACCCGATCTCAGAAGGGCAGCACCTCTTCGGTTGGCATTTTGACATGTCCTTGGTTTGCATGAAGATTTGAGCACTGGTTCTGTTTTGTTCATCATTGTACAAGTTTTGTTTTAAAAAGTTTCAAGACTAGTTTTGTTCTAACTTTGCTGTCCATGATGAAATAGCAGACGTAATAACGCACATGGTCAAAATAGCACCAGTTACACAGCTCCCGATGTACACAGGGACTGTGGATGCAGTCTTGTGCTGCCATCCGTTCGCATATTATCCTTGAAAACGTTTTATTACCACCTCATATCTTAATCTGCTAGTACATCTAACACTGCCCTTCCCCCAGACTGACAATACTTCAGTCCAAATCTGCCTCCTATGAGCCTTCATCCAGAGTTGGGCACTCTAATACAGGAGGTGTGCTACTGGCCAGATCACCAGGTGAGGACAGAGGGAAAAAAATGATTGGTAAGCTGCAATATATTACACTTTTGGTTTTGGGTTTGTTATTGTTTTAAATGGGAACTAAACTCACCTCTCTTTACAGCCAAGGAGACTGCAATCTTAGCCTTTGGTTGTATGACACCAACCTTTTGATGGTTTGACAGTTTTGGTTGAGAGCTCTAGTTCCTGTGAGAGTTATCAACATGTAACTGCTTTGGTTTAGTTCAACTTTAAATAGCCTTCCTTATTTAGCTTCATTTTTGTGTGAACCTGACACTTCAGTTTGATGGTAAGAGGTCACCCAAAGTCTGACAGTTGCTGTCCAGTCAACCATCTCACCCAACACAACTGTCTCCAAGATCCATTTCCACAGAGACAGAAAAATTGTAATGAATACTCTCCAATTTCAAATGCCCTGGACGCTTGAATGGCATGAATATAACCTTTTGCTGGCAGTAGTGACGTCTTTGAACCAAATAAATCGAAGGCAAAATTTGGAAAACGTCTGCCGAACGCACAATGAATTGATGGGATAATGTGTTTCTCGTCCGGTTTAAAAATCAAACTGTTGGTTCTCCATATAGTATCTCACAGAAGTGAGTACACCCCTCACATTTTTGTAAATATTTTATTATATCTTTCCATCTGACAACACTGAAGAAATTACACTTTGCTACAGTGTAAAGTAGTGAGTGTACAGCTTGTATAACTGTAAATTTGCTGTCCCCTCAAAATAACTCAACACACAGCCATTAATGTCTAAACCGCTGGCAACAAAAGTGAGTACACCCCTAAGTGACAATGTCCAAATTGGGCCCAATTTTCCCTCCCCGGTGTCATGTGACTCGTTAGTGTTACAAGGTCTCAGGTTTGAGCAGGTGTGTTAAATTCGGTGTTATCGCTCTCACTCTGTCATACTGGTCACTGGAAGTTCAACATGGGACCTCATGGCAAAGAACTCTCTGAGGATCTGAAAAAAAGAATTGTTGCTGTACATAAAGATGGCCTAGGCTATAAAAAGATTGCCAAGACCCTGAAACTGAGCTGCTGCATGGTGGTCAAGACCATACAGCGGTTTAACAGGACAGGTTCCACTCAGAACAGGCCATGCCATGGTCGACCAAAGAAGTTGAGTGCACATGCTCAGTGTCATATCCAGAGGTTGTCTTTGGGAAATAGACATATAAGTGCTGCCAGCATTGTTGCAGAGGTTGAAGGGGTGGGGGGGGCCAGCCTGTCAGTGCTCAGACCATACGCCGCACACTGCATCAAATTGGTCTGCATGGCTGTCATCCCAGAAGGAAGCCTCTTCTAAAGATGATGCACAAGAAAGCCTGCAAACAGTTTGCTGAAGACAAGCAGACTGAGGACATGGATTACTGGAACCATGTCCTGTGGTCTGATGACACCAAGATAAACAGATTTGGTTCAGATGGTGTCAAGTGTGTGTGTGGCGGCAACCAGGTGAGGAGTACAAAGACAAGTGTGTCTTGCCTACAGTCAAACATGGTGGTGGGAGTGTCATGGTCTGGGGCTGCATGAGTGCTGCCGGCACTAGGGAGCTACAGTTCATTGAGGGAACCATGAATACCAACATGTACTGTGACATACTGAAGCAGAGCATGATCCATCCCTTCGGAGACTGGGCCACAGGGCAGTATTTCAAAATGATAACGACCCAAACACACCTCCAAGAAGACCACTGCCTTGCTAAAGAAGCTGAGGGTAAAGGTGATGGACTGGCCAAGCATGTCTTCAGATCTAATCCATATTGAGCATCTGAGGGGCATCCTCCAACGGAAGGTGGAGGAGCCCAAGGTCTCTAACATGCACCAGCTCCGTGATGTCGTCATGGAGGCGTGGAAGAGGACTCCAGTGGCAACCTGTGAAGCCCTGGTGACCTCCATGCCCAAGAGGGTTAAGGCAGCGCTGGAAAATAAATGGTGGCCACACAAAATATTGACACTTTGGGCCCAATTTGGACATTTTCACTTAGGGGTGTACTCACTTTTGTTGCCAGCGGTTTAGACATTAATGGCTGTGTTTTGAGTTATTTTGGAGGGGACAGCAAATATACACTGTTATACAAGCTGTACACTCATTACCGTATATACTCGAGTATAAGCCGACCCGAATATAAGCCGAGGTACCTAATTTTACCACAAAAAACTGGGAAAAAACTATTGACTCGAGTATAAGCCAAGGGTATCAGTGGGAGGAATAGTGCCCCATCATTGGTGTCAGTGGGAGGAATAGTGCCCCATCATTGGTGTCAGTGGGAGGAATAGTGCCCCATCATTGGTGTCAGTGGGAGGAATAGTGCCCCATCATTGGTATCACTGGGAGGAATAGTGCTCCATTATTGGTGTCAGTGGGAGGAATAGTGCCCCATCATTAGTATCAGTGGGAGGAGGAATAGTGCCCCATCGTTGGTGTCAGTGGGAGGAATAGTGCCCCATCATTGGTATCACTGGGAGGAATAGTGCCCCATCATTGGTATCACTGGGAGGAATAGTGCTCCATTATTGGTGTCAGTGGGAGGAATAGTGCCCCATCATTAGTATCAGTGGGAGGAGGAATAGTGCCCCCATCATTGGTGTCAGTGGGAGGAATAGTGCCCCATCATTAGTATCAGTGGGAGGAATAGTGCCCCATCGTTGGTGTCAGTGGGAGGAATAATGCCCCATCATTAGTATCAGTGACACCAATGATGCGGCACTATTCCTCCCACTGACACCAATGACACTTGCTGACCCCTGTTGCAGTATGGTGCTGCTGCAGCCAGCATATGTGGTTGCAGCAGCACCTCTGCACTGCACACTTACCGGCTTTTCCCTCACTCTATTTTCGCGGGTCCGCTCGGCTCCGCCTCCTCGCCCGTGATTGGCCGCCTGTGTACCTTTCCTGAGCTACAGTTCCGGCGGCCAATCACCGGTGAGGAGGCGGAGCCGAGCGGCAGGAGTGAAGGAGTGGCCGGAGTGACGGAAGGAGCAGCGCTTCCTGGATGGATCATCGTGGGAGCCAGGTAAGAGACAGCAGCCCTCTGCCCACCGCTGTACGCGCCCCCCTTGACGGAGCCCCACTATTTGATAAGCACTGGCTTTAGAAGCAGCGCCCCCTGCTAGACATCTGCAGACGTTGACTCGAGTATAAGCCGAGGGGGACGTTTTTCAGCACAAAAAATGTGCTGAAAAACTCGGCTTATACTCGAGTATATACGGTACTTTCCATTGTAGCAAAGTGTCATTTCTTCAGTGTTGTCAAATGAAAAGATATAATAAAATATTTACAAAACGTGTGTGAGGGGGGTGTACTCACTTCTGTGAGATACTGTATATGTGACTCAGAAGCAAAAAAAAACGGCCAAAAAACTGATTCGTTTGTCCATTGAACAATTTTTCATTCGAAATTCGGTCATTACATGGTAATATCGTTTGCTATCATGACCATGTGTTCCGTTTTTCGAAAACCCTTTCAAACTATTTTTTGACTACTGTATTGCTTAGCATAAAGGTAAAAATACCTTAATTCAACAGTCCAAAGCCTGCAAAGTCCCACGCCAGCATCTTCTTTCTGGCTTTTTCCTGGATGCCAGTCTTCAGCTGTCTTGATTAGCCTGCACAGCATGACGTCACTCCTGCGCATGGTGTCACTTGTCATGCAAACTGTATTTTATGAGTGGGATATAAATAAAGGATGTTGTGTTGACTAACATTGAAGTATATGTGATATCTCTTTTCCAATATAAATGTTCCCCTTAGAAAAGGCTGGCCAGTTGATGACAGGAACCACATGGCTATTGCCAGGGGATTTTATAGATGACGTATTTGATAAAATGTGTTTTTAACGCTCTTGTATTTTATACAAGGAAAAATAAGTAATCTATCATGTTTTAAAATGTATTTGTTTATTACAACTGATTTGGTAGGCTAGGGTTGTATTCTTTTTTAGATATAGGTGTGCTTTTGAGCTAGTTTGGCACTGTAATAAAAGAGAGGTTCAGGCAAAAAGTAGTGATGGCTATGATTATGATTAGAAGCAATACTATGTATTGGCATTAAAAGAACCCATATTTAGGGTGTAACATGTTACAGAGGCAGCAGTTCCCACATTCCCAATCCCCCATTTTGACAGCGAGTGAGGGATCTTCTCCAGAGTACTGTGAATGTGAAAACTAGAAGCACCAACAGATTTTGCGGCTGTCCGCTTGTTCGCCATGAACTATCGAGGTGCTGTTGAGTGCTCCAGGTAGTGCATTGGTTCTTCCTGTCAGTGTGTAACTGCCTGCCTATATGAAGTGCTAGCAGACAGCTTACACAGGCTGTCTGCAAGAGCCCTGCATTGTTCCCATGGTCTGCTAACCACGGGTGTAATGCTTTGAAGGCTCCTAGTAAAAAATAATAATTAATGCATTTTTTTACCTTCTTCCTCCTCCTCCTCCCTCCTCCCCCTCCTCCCTCCTCCTCCTATAAAATTTCTTCTTCTCCAAGAAAGAAAATAAAATTTCTTCTTCTCCAAGAAAGAAAATAAAATTTCTTCTCCTTCTTCTTCTTCTCCTCCTTTTTTTTTTTTTTTTTTTTTTTTTTTTTTACAAAGGTGAACTTATCCTTTAAATCCCCTCCTCCCCATAATTGGTAGTCATTGGCACTTTAAATCCCCCACCTTTTTAAAAAAAAAAAAAACAAAAAAACAATCCCACCATCAATAAAAAAAAAAAAAAAAAAAAAAACCACCTTGAATGAAAGTCTTGCTTACTGGTGCTGCCTTTCTCTTCCTCTGCTTCCTTCCATCTCCTGTGATCTGCCATTGTGAGAAAAAGAGGAGGGCGGGATGTTTGTAAACACAGCCAGTGTTTACACTTGTGATCACTGTGATTGGTTTTCCACTATCAAAAGGTCACTATGATAGGCTCTGTGCATTTTGCTTGTGATCTGCCCATGCTCAGTGCACTCACAAACATGGGGAGCACTCCTCGTGTGCATCCCCTCTGTAGACAATAAAGATTATAAACATCCTGTTAGAATAGTAGGCTCCCTGACGAGCTGTACTACTACAGTGGCTGGTCAGGAGGTGGTTAATAATGCAAACAATTGTAATATTTTGTTGATGCTTTGCACTTTATAGTAGAGGGCATTGGTTGCCTAATGGCTGTTTCTGTAGATTAGACATTCTGTGCTTTCACACATCAAAGAGTCAATATAAATTCCACAATATAGAGGTTGCATAACAAAGAAGTAAAAGCTTGCACAAATGTTATTTTTATACAGTGAGCCTGGGTTCACATATATGCGGTGCGGTATATTGCATGTAATTCGCACAGGAATCGCACTGCATTCATGTGCAAATCACATGCGATTTGTGTGCGGTGCGATTGGAGCCATACATTTTGTATAGATCTATTCGCACCGCACCCGCATCAAAAACGTGCAAGATACTTTTTTGGGTCTGCACTAGAATCGGATCGCATGGGTATTCGCACCGCGTTTTGCGGACTGCTTTTGGGGTGTTAACTTAACATACACACCTGCAGCAGTTTGCATGAACAGGGTGCGATTCTGATGCGGTGCGGAATTCGCACAGAAAACGCTGCAAATTCCACACCGCATCAGTGTGATCCAGGGCTCAAAGCGCATCACACAAAACAGTCAAGCTCTGTTTAGGAGGTATTAACTTTTTTTTTTTTCTTTTCATGCTCAGGCACCAGTTCGCTTAAGGGTAGCTGGGAGAATTCTAACTGGGGAGCAAATTTAGAAGAGACCCAAACGCAAGTAGTGTTGACGCCGACGGCCATCACCAAGCCGGTTAGACGAACTGTAGTGGATGAATCTGAGACTTTTTTCAGTGCCTTTCTCTCCTCATCTGAGGTTAACCCTGGTACAGTTAATTCTGTGGTATCCAAGCCCCCCACCAAGTCTCAAAGACCGGAAGAAGAAGTAGAACAGACTTCACCAAAGCCTATACTCGGATCCAGGCAGGAAAATGCTCAAGATAATGAAAAGAACTCACAACAGACAAGTCCAACCCAAAGTCTGGGGGAAGTTGACTTGTTTAGAGAGGACTTGATACTGGTGAATCTGGAGGATTTATCGGAGGAGAAATGTGACCCTACAAAGGCCAACCAGGACTCTGGGAATTCTGAAAGTCTTAAAGGCCATTTGGAGCCCAAACCAGGAGAGGAACCTAATTGTTCAGTGGCTCCACCAGAAACTAAGGACAATGCATTAGAACTAAAAGACCAAAAACTTGAAGATAGGCAAAGCAACACCCCTTCTCCTCCCGTTAGCAACTTCTCCTCCGGCACGTCAACAACTAGTGATATTGAGGTATTAGACCATGAAAGTGTGATCAGTGAGAGCTCTGTTAGCTCCAGGCAGGAGGTGGGCGATTCCAAGGGCAACCTCAACTTAATGCAGAATTCTTTCCAGCTCTTATCTCCTTCCGTGGAATATGGTCGTTTGGATGAGTTTCAGAAACTCACAGAGAGTTGCTCTTCCTCCGACGCCTTCGAAAGGATAGACTCTTTTAGTGTGCAATCTCTGGACAGTCGCAGCATAAGCGAAATCAACTCTGATGACGAGCTGCCAGGCAGAGGGTGTACGCTGGTCGCCATAGCAGTTAGCTCTTCCACACCAAGCCTGGACGTTACTGACTCTACAGAGAGCAAAACTGATGAGGAAGTTATTGAAACACTACTAATGCACTCTAGTGATGATATAGAGATGGAAGAGAGTGGAAGAAGCGCAACTCCTGTGAACTCAGAACAGCCGGATCTCCTGGTCACTGCGCTCCAGACACAGGAGATAGAGGAGGAAGTGTCAGCTGAGCTGCAAGAGAATAGCAGCAAGCCAAAGGTTGATTACACTCCAGAGGATATGCAAAAGGTAATAAACAAGAAATGGGTTATCAGTGAACTGTACTATGTGCTGAGATACTGTTTGCTGAGATTACCACTTGAATGTCAGCTGTTATGCTTAGCATTATTTTTAAAGGGACCCTGTTGCTAAAAAAACGAACAAAAAAAAAGATGCTCCTGTAAAAGATGACACCTGCCTGTCCCATCATCCATTCATAAAATGGTCTATTGCAGGGGTGGGCAAACTTTTTGACTTAAGGGCCGCAATGGGTTCATATATTGCACCCGGGGGCCGGACCAAGAGAAGATGCATGATGTGTATGCATGATGTGTATGTGTAAGCATCCATAGTAAGTATTCAGTAATATTCCCCCATAGTAAGCATAGTAAGTAATTCATCCCCCATATAGTAATTCATCCCCATATAGTAATTCATCCCCATATAGTAATTCATCCCCCATATAGTAATTCATCCCCCATATAGTAATTCATCCCCCATATAGTAATTCATCCCCCGTATATCCCCATATAGTAATTCATCCCCATAGTAATTCATCCCCCATATAGTAATTCATCCCCCATATAGTAATTCATCCCCCATATAGTAATTCCCCCCATATAGTAATTCATCCCCCATATAGTAATTCATCCCCCATATTAATTCATCCCCACAGTACTATTCCCCCCAAGTAGTAAGCCAAGTCCCCCCTGTGTCAATTCACTTACCTTTGCTCCGCACGTTCCTCTCGCCGTATTCCCGCGCCGTTCCGGTCTTCAGGGCGGACTGTGAGAGGAGCCTAGCTCCCCTCACGCTGCCCCGCCTACACACATTCTGACAGCCGATGTTTGCCACTCTCCGCGGGCTGGATTAAAAGGTCCGCCGGGCCGTAGTTTGCCCATTGCTGGTCTATTGGTTAGTGTGTAAAGCCAACCAAAGGATTGTCACATGACACCTCAGTGCATTGGATGATTGTGTTTTCCTCTGCTTTCTGTGGTTCCTTCCACCGGTGCCTGTGGTGACACAGGCTGGCAGGAGGAGATAAGCAACATAGAAGCCTATATTCAAACTCTGGCAGTATCTCCACATTTAACACACTTCAGGTGTGGCAAATGCCTCCGTCCTCCACTGCATCCTGTAGGTATCCTGCCAGCCACAGAATGTGGTGCGAGTTGCAGACAGCGTGTCAGAAGTGAAGATCTTTAGGGTGGCTTGCACAGCAACGGAGAAAAGATTCAAACCCTGTCGATACACTGGTAGATTTTCAAATGAAAGATCTTGTCAGTACAGTTGATAATGCCAATGTTGTTTAACCCCCTTCATGACCAGGGCATTTTTGCTATTCAGCATAGTGCTATTTTAACTGGAAATTGCTTGGCCATGCAACACTGTACCCAAATAAAATTAATAAAAATTAATAAAACACATAGAGCTTTCTTTTGGAGCTATTTCACCACTGGGTTTTCTAATTTTTTTATTATATAAATGAAAAAAAGACAGATTTTTAATTTTGAAAAAAAAAATATTTCTGTCATAAAACATATCCAAGAAAGAAAATAAAATTTCTTTATAAATTTAGGTCAAAATTTGTTCTGCTACATATGTTTAGTAAAAAAACAAAAAAAACCCCAATAAGTGTAAATGAGTTGGTTTGTGTAAAAGTTACAACGTCTACAGTGGTACATATAATGGAATTTATGCAGTTATGATGCTATACTGGTAATGATGGTGACCAGCGACTTATAGTGTGACTGTGATAGTGTGGCAGGCAATCTGGCGCTCATACCCTAACTGACTAACTGATACTGACATCAATAGTGGTACTGATACAGTGATCAGATCTAATACTGTACACTGCCACTGTACTAATGACACTGGCTGAGCAGGGGTTAACATCAATGGGAAAATAAAGGGTTAGCTGTCCCTAACAAGTTTAATGTGTGTAATATGCGCTGCTTTTACTTACAGATCTGACTGAAACAGCAAGCTCGCTGAGCTGTGTAGAGAGCCCTATGTATTTGTAAACACAGGGCTCTGTGCTGTTATTGGCTACAGCCGATAAGCAGATCTCAGCCAAAAAATTATTAGCCGGAACCTGCTGACCAATCCATCAGTAGCCAATGACGGCGCAGTTTAACAACGGGCGCACACTTAGATGCTCCAAACCCAAAGCAGGTTGGATCACGTATATGTACCTGATCCAGCCCACCCGCAGTAAATGTACTGTGGACGGGCTAAAAGTACATTCAAAATTTTATTTGCTTTTACCGTTCGATTTTGGTATGAATGTAATTTTGCAAATGAAAACAACATACAGCGTTAGAAACTGTTCAGAAAAAAAAATGTCAGTTTTACCCCACTAACCATTAAAAAGCGAAAGAATGTTCCAAAAATGACTATTTTGACCTAAATTCTCCTAGTGTATGGCTAGTTTAAGAGCAGGCAAGGGGGAAAAGGCAAGTATGAAGCATCTACTTTTACATAAGCAGTTTTTTATTTTCTCAGTGGCAGGGTCTCTTTAAAGTGAACCTAACTTTAAAAAGAAGCATGTGAAGGGAATTAAAGCCCAACTCCAGCCAGATTTTTTGGTTTCATTTTGGACGTGAGTGAAGATGGGCTAGAACATGGTGGTCAACTTGAAAATAATAGAGGGCCTCAAATGTGGCCCCTGATGCTTCTACTGTAGAGGGCTGCGCGGTAGCAGCCTATTTAGGTGCTATGAATTACATTGTATTGTGTCGGTCAGCCCATTTAAAATGAATGCGCTGTAATGCATCTCAACACCTGAAAAATTTGGCCCTGGTGTATTTTTGTACACTCACACGGAAGAAAGGGGGAGTAAAATAAGCTCCATCGTTGGTGACATGTCAGTGAATTCAATAAATAAACCCAGCTTTGCTGCTTGAGATTCCAGTAATAACCCCCAGCATTGATGTCAGTAACCGCAATGATACCCCCAGCATTGGTGTCGGCGGCTGCATCAATGACCGCCAGCATTGGTGCCGGCGGCTGCATGACCGCCAGCATTGGTGCCGGCGGCTGCATCAATGACCGCCAGCATTGGTGCCGGCGGCTGCATCAATGACCGCCAGCATTGGTGCCGGCGGCTGCATCAATGACCGCCAGCATTGGTGCCGGCGGCTGCATCAATGACCGCCAGCATTGGTGCCGGCGGCTGCATCAATGACCGTCAGCAATGACCGCCAGCATTGGTGCCGGCGGCTGCATCAATGACCGCCAGCATTGGTGCCGGCGGCTGCATCAATGACCGCCAGCATTGGTGCCGGCGGCTGCATCAATGACCGCCAGCACCGCCATTGGTGCAATCAATGACCGCCAGCATTGGTGCCGGCGGCTGCATCAATGACCGCCAGCATTGGTGCCGGCGGCTGCATCAATGACCGCCAGCATTGGTGCCGGCGGCTGCATCAATGACCGCCAGCATTGGTGCCGGCGGCTGCATCAATGACCGCCAGCATTGGTGCCGGCGGCTGCATCAATGACCGCCAGCATTGGTGCCGGCGGCTGCATCACTGACCGCCAGCATTGGTGCCGGCGGCTGCATCAATGACCGCCAGCATTGGTGCCGGCGGCTGCATCAATGACCGCCAGCATTGGTGCCGGCGGGCTGCTGCAGTAATACCCCCTGCATTGGTGCCAGTAGCTACAATAACCCCGAACATTGATGTTAGTGGCCACAATAATAAGCCCCGACATTGGTGTCAATGACTGCAATAACAACTCCCAACATCGGTGCCAGTGGCCTCGGTACTAACACTGTACCGCTTTCTTTTTGAAGAAGTCAGGCCAGGAATATACCTCTACGGTCAGCAGAGAACGCTGCACCTGACAGTATCAGTCTCATCATAGTATGATGCAGAGTGTCCAAATACCGAGCATCCCACTTTGCTTCATTACATGTGGGAAGACGGACAACATCCCAGCATCAGACATTCTGCTGCCAGTTTGTGACAGGCCCTGCCCAGGATGTGGCAGGCCACAAAGAGAGTGCTGGTGGGCAGCATGTAGTTCACAGGCCACGTGTTGGACATCAGGGGGCTCAAATGTCTGTCAGGTTTTATTTAGAGTCTGTGTCCCCATCGGAAAGATTTCCCCTGTACACAAATTGTGAAAATGTGAAAAGGTTAGAATCTGTTTGGTTATTAGTACAACCTGTGTCTTCCTGTGTCGGGGACAACTGCTCTTTGGAACCCATTTCTTGCAAGTCTCCCATCTTTGTGAGCGGGGAACAACAGATCCCTTTTTAGCACAAAGTATGTAGGCAAACTCTCCCCATTACATAGACTGTGAGGAATAAGTAGGCAGAAAATGATTGCTTAAAGTGTTTCTAAACCCACAACCGTAAAATCCGTCTGTATATACAGTAAAGCATGCTTGTTATACTCACTGTTGAACTGAAGGGGTTAATCCTCCATATTGTGTAAAAAAGCTGTTTGATCCTGTCTTCTCTGATCCTCCCCTTCTTCTAGTGTCTCCCAAATATCTCCTGATAGAACAGAGGCTAAGGGCAAGCTGCACATGCTCAGTTTGGTGTGTATTGCTAGAGAGTGTTTTTTCTTCTTGGGAGAGTGCCTGTAATCAGCACTGTCCAGACAGAGGTCAGGGGTCCTGCATCCTGCTACAGGAGAAAGAGAAAACTCCTCCTACAAGCTTTAACCAGTGTTCTGCTGAAGTCACAAGACTGCTATATACTGCTGATGAGAAAAGGTATTTAGCAGTTTATATTTACTAAAATAATTGCACTTTCATGTTCTGTGTACTGTGGGAGACCAGATATAGTGAACGCAGGTCCTGGGTTTAGTAACACTTTAACCCCACAATTGTTTGTCTTTACCATGTCTTCTCCATTATACTGTCTTTTCAAAATAGCATATTTAATAATTCAAAGGTTGGATGAAAGGTTTAATGCAATGTAATATTTGTATGGCGAGCTATACATCAAAAACCTAAAAGAGGAAAGTGGATCTGAGGGATTTAGTTCTACATAAGGGATAGTCTCTTCAAATGAGAGACCTCTAAAAGCTTTGTGTCCTGTCACAGAGACAGGAAGTGAACTGAAATCTCTTAAATGGGTTCACAAATGGCAATAAACATTTGACAGAAGAACTTGTCAGCTCTCTAAGATGGGAATTTCCTTGACTTGTTGTCATTTGATTTTGTGTCCTGTTGTGCCTCCAGGACAAGTGAAGTTTTTTTTTTTAGTATGAAAAGGTTAAAAAACCTGTTAGACTATTATTCACATTCTTTCAGTTCTTACTGCGTTATACACTGACCTAGGTAAACAAAAGCTTTGGTCAAATAAACAAATCAGTACACTGTATATGACATGTCTGAATGGAATGATTTATATGTAACCATAAACAAAAGTACAAACGCTGGATGGAAAATGAATCCGTGTCCTGCTGGCATTGCCATGTATGCTTCAATTGTTATTTGGGCGCTGTCTGACACTCACCCTGGGATGTGCCACATTGAAATCACAAATGTACAAATATCATCTGTACAGTTTGCTGCAGCATTTTCTGCATGGCAATCACAGAAATGAATTTATTAACGTAGATAAAAATGGTCATGAAGGTCCTTGTAAATATACTCTGTATTATAGGGTGACAGTGCTTTTTATCCAGGTCTCCCAGTTATGTTCCCGCACTGTCACACGGACTTGCAATGGAGGCTACCATGGTCATTTAGCACACATTGCACAGCCATGGTCCATTGTTGTCACCATCAGGAAACCTGCCCTGTGAAATGCCATGCAGCTGGGGGTTTAAGTAGACAGCAAGTGGCTGTCAAAAAAAAAAAAAGTGAAAAGCATTTTTTTTATTTTTAAAAATGACATCCCCATCTGAAAAATGCTAGTTCCCTGGTTGTCATGCAGATCCAATAGCTTGAAGCTGATTTCCCTGTTTTTACTGTCCCTTTAACTAGTTTGTTTGGGCCTCACTGGCCTAAGCAAACTGTTCTCTGCACTAGTAGGGGCACCCTCTGGGTGCGCTGTATAAACGTCCTCTGCCAAATACAGTATACAGCTTTGTGTTCCAGGGGTGAGACAAGAACCTTCCATTCTATATGCAGAACACAATAGGCATGTGATTTTGGCACCCCTACTACACTGTATAAGCAGTTTTGACAGCAATGCAGCTGAGTCTGATTGTCAAAGTGGTTGTAAGCCCTGGTTCACATTGATGCGAATTGTCATGCGGTTTGACCGTTCAAATCGCATGCAATGATCGGCAATGGATCTGTTCTAACTGTTGTGACACCGATTAGAAAAGTAGTTCCTACACTTCTTTTGCCGATTTAGAGTGGGACTTGCATAGACATCTGTGCATGAAGCCGTACAGATGTCTGTGAAGTCGCACTGCCATCCGACTTTGAAATCGTGCGACTCAAGTGAAGTTGCACGATTTTAAACTTGGATCAGTGTGAACCAGGGTCTGAGGTTAAAGGGTTTTTTTTTTTTTTACCTTAATGTATTCTTTGCACTAGGTTAAAAAAAATCTTTGGAATGTAGTTTCCCCTCTCTAAATACCCTCCTGAGTCCAATCCCAATCTCGTGCTGTGCATAGCTGCTGTCTCTCTCCCCCCTCATTGGCACAGATACATAGCTTCCACTGCTGTCAATCAAAGCAAGTGACAAGGGAGTGGGGCCAAGTCCTGATGTCTGTGTCTACACACAACGGAGCTGGGGAGTGAGCAGCATGCAGGTATGCTATTGGAAGTGTTTTTTTCTTTGGGGTACCACTGATAAGAGGAGAGCCAGGAGCTCCAGCGTGGGACCCAAGAAGAGGAGGATTGGGGCTGCTATGTGTAAAATCAATGGGATTAATTTTTTTTTAATGCACCCTAAATGTGTCAAAAGTGCGAGTTAATGCTATAGGCGTGTTGGTTAGCGTTTGTGTCAGTGTCAGAATTTTTTCCCAAGTGTGAACTTGTTCTTAGAGTTGAAACTTTTTTCTCCCCCTAATGTTAATTGGGGCACACAGCAGACCTCTGTGTTTTCTTCAATGAACACTTGGAGAAAAATCTTTTACAGTGAGTACAAAAATCCATTTTTATTGTCCTAATTCTTTTAACTGATTCCTTAAAAATTTTGTGTTTTTTTAGATTATTGCTGAACTTACGACGCGGTTGGAGAAGAGGGAAGTACAACTGTTATCTGTCAGCAAAGAAAAAGCACTTCTGGAAGAAACCGTTGACAATCTCAGAGAGTGAGTGAATGTCAGGGGTATTCTGCTTTGTAGTGTGCACACAGCTGTTTTTATATCTGTAATATAACTGCACAATTCATCAAAATATATATGAAAAGGAAAGTGAATCCTGGGAAATGTACAAATTTTAGGTTAACTTATTAGCCAAGTGTTTAGCAAAGTTTTATGCAGAGTTTTAAAATGGACCTATGGTTAAAACCTCTTCTTCTCGAAATTTAAACTATAGACTAGTTTAAAAAAAAAAAAAAACCCCGACCTTAAATCAAGGTTTTCACTAGAAGGTGGTTTCGGGAAACCCACGTTCCGTGTGCTAATCTCACACTGCAGTTGAGTCTGCAGTGGGTGTCGGTGTTAAGTTAATGACATCCCAAAGGCAGGTCGCTAATACAGTGTGTTTGGCTGCACTGGATCCCATTATACAAAAGTACCATACAATCCGGTTGCAGTGCATTTCCAAAAGTAGTTTTGCTGCGATTTGAGCCCATTAAATGAATGGTTTAAAATTGTACCGCACTGAATCGCTCAGGAGTACGCAGGTAGTTCCATAGTGTGAACCGGGGATCAACAAGTTACAGCCCAACTGAGCTCTCTTTAACCATCTCCCGCCCGCCATATAAGGTAATGACGGGTGCAAGGCGGGTCTCTCGTTCTGGGAGGATGTCATAAGATGTCCTGCCACTCTATTCGTGCATGCATGCCCCTGGGGGTGCGCAACGTGGCGATTGGTGGTGTGCTGTGTCCTTGAGTCACCGATCAACGGAAAGAGTCGATGACGTAGGCTCTATCATGTGATCAGCTCGTGTAAATAAGGAAATGCCGGTTATCGGCATTCCTCTCCTTACAAGCTGTCACGCTGACAGTTCGTGAGGAGAGCCAGTATTTGGCTTTACTCAGAGGGGACATGTACACTGATTATCAGGGCAGTGATGATCAGTGCTGCCACATCAATGCCACCTGCCAGTGCGCATCAGAGCCACATATCAGTGCTTACCAGTGCACATTAGTGCCACATATCAATGCCTATCTAAGCTGCCTTTCAGTGCCGCCTATCAGTGCCAGTCATCAGTGCCATATACGAGTGCTGCCTTTCAGTGCCCACCATGATGCCTGTCAATGCTCATCAGTCCCCAAAAATAAAAAACCCAGAGGTGATTAAATACCACCAAAAGAAAGCTTTATCCTAAAAAAAAAATTATAAAAATTTCATATGGGTACAGTGTTGCATGACTGCACAATTGTCATTCAAGTGCAACAGTACTGAAAGCTGAAAATTGGCCTGGGCAGGAAGGGGGTATAAGTGCCTGGTAGGCAAGTGGTTAAACTTCCCGAATACATTTCAGGTACATAAAATCTAAAGATGTGTAATCTTTAATTTTCTTTAGATCGACTGTTTATTTGCTAAACTGTTATGGACAGTATGATAGGTTTCAATCCTCTACTATTTGGCGCTTTGGATAGTGGAGAGTGGGTGGGTATGGGGACAAGTTTGATACTTGCATGTAGCATTCTAGGGTGGGGAATTATTGTTTGCTTGTTTGTGTGTTTTGTTTTTTGTTTTTGTTTTTTTAAATGATAAAAAAAAAAATTTTCTTTTAGAAAGCAGCCACCTGAGTAGCAATGCCTGTGCCTTGTCAGAATACTGCAAAGTTTGTTCTCTGTGTAGAAGCAGTGTTCTATATTGCAGAGGTCTAACATGCCCCCTGTTTAGTTGGACTTAAACCCTGATGATTTGGAGAACACTAGAGCTTGCTTATAGTGGAGTGCTTTGACCTTTGCAGAGAGACCACTGTTTCTTCCACACAGAGCTAGTGTTTTGTCCTTTGCTGCAGCATGCTGGCAGGGGACATGCTTTTCTACTTGGACAGTGGCTGCTTTCTAAATAATAAAAAGCCCTTTTCGCCTTTTGTTTTAATGCACCTGCCATTTAGCTGATTTTACCTTTTTATTTTTTTTATGTAGTTAACCACTTGCCGACCGCGCATAGCCGAATGACGGCTGCACCGCGGCCGGCTAGTTCTGGGTGGACGTCTATGACGTCCTCCCAGAATCTCCTGCGCGCCCCAACCCGTCTCCGTGATCGCTGTGTCTACAATGACACGCTGTCACAGAAAATGCAAGTGCCGGTTCTCTCGGCTGCACTTTCCTCACGCTGTCAGATCTTGAGGAAAGTACTGCCGAGTAACCGGCAGTTGTCAGAGCGGGATCGGCACCGATCATCAGGGCACTGATGATCAGTGCCCTGATGATCGGTGCCCAGCAGTGACTCCCGCAAGTTCCTCCCAGCAGTGCGCCCACTAGCCCGCCCACCCATGCCCAGCAGTGCCCCCACCTGTGCCCAGCAGTGCCCCCACCTGTGCCCAGCAGTGCCCCCACCTGTGCCACTCTGCAGTGCCACCTACCTGTGCCCAGAAGTGCCACCTACATGTGCCAGCAGCCACCCACTGCTGTGCCCACCCACCTGTGCCCACCAGTGCCACCCACCTGTGCCCACCAGTGCCACCTACCTGTGCCCACCCACCAGTGGTGCCCCACCAGTTGTGCAGCCCAGCAGTGCTGCAGTCAGTGCCACCAGTCACCCAGCGGTTGTGCTTTGCCGCCAGTCAGTGCCCAGAAGTGATGCCAGTCAGTGCCGTCTATCAGTACCCATAATCAGTGCCGCCTATCAGTGCTGCATATCAGTGCCGCCTATCCGTGACCCCTAATTAGTGCTGTCTATCAGTGCCGCCGCCTATTCCGTGCCACCTCATTAGTACTGCCTATCAGTGCCCTTTAGTGCTGCCTATCAGTGCCCCATCAGTGCCGCCTATCAGTGCCCATCAGTGCCGCCCTCATCAACGCAAATCAGTGAAGAAGAAAAAAAATACCTGTTTGAAAAATTTTATAAAAGAAACAAATAAACTTTTTTTTTTTTTTCAAATTTTTTGCAACATTTTTTAATTTATAGCACCTGTAAAGCGCCCAGTGGCGATTAAATACTGAAAGCTCTATTTGTGAGAAAAAAATGATCAAAATTTCATATGGGTACAATGTTGCATTTGTCAATCAAAGTGCGGCAGCGCTGAAAGCTGAAAAATGGCCTGGTAAGGAAGGGGGTATAAGTGCCCCCCCCTGGTAGGCAAGTGGTTAATGATGTAAAAATACTTCCTATAACTGTGTCAAGAGCCAGAGTAAAATCCTTGCAGCATTCTCGGTTTAGCATTGTAGCCACTAGTACAAACATTGATGTTGAGGAGAGCCATCAGTGTGTTCACTGGTTATAAGCCTTCTCTTTCCTGCCCCCAGTGCCAACTACAGATTCTATGAGCCTGTCTGTAGATAGGAGGCTTGTGGGGACTGTAGTCTAGCTGGGGCTGTGCATCTTAACCACTTCCCGACCGGCCCCCGTTGCATATAAACGGCCGGACGGTGGCAGTGCAGGGTCGGGTGGCCGTTTATAAACGGCCTCCCCACACCCTGCTTGTGCGCGCTCCCTCGGGGCGCGCAGCACCGCGATCCGGTGCCCGCTGTGTTCTCCGGGCACAGTGAAACACCGATCGTCGGACAGGACCTCTGTACGAGGTCCCGATCATGTGATCACTGATTGGCCAATCAGTGATCACATGCAAAGTAGTAAGCAGGATGTCACTTGTGACATCATTGCTTACTACGTGTGAAATCTGTGAATGATCACAGAGGTCACATGGTACAAGGCTATTCACAACAGCCTTGTACCATGTGACAAGCTGTGACCAATCACAGCTCACTCAGTACTTCTCAATGAGTGCAAGAATGCAGCCAGAGAGGAGAAATGATTGCTTTTACATCCTATATGGGTGTAAAAGCAATCAGTGTAAAAAAAAAAAAAAAATCTTCATCACCCCCCACAAGTAGTACAGTGTCACCATGGTGACAATGTACTGCTAGGGTGACAGTATGATGTAAAAAAAAAAAAAAAATAAAAAATAATAATGTAAAAAAAAATAAAAATGTAAAAAAAAATTTTTCAAAAATTATAATTTTTGGTTATAAACTAATTTGGATTTTTTTTTTACTAAAAAGATAACGGAATACATTTTCGCAAATATTTATGATGAAATATTATTTGCAAAATTTTATTTAAAAAAACACTTTTTTTCAAAATTTTTGGACTTTTTCATTTAAATAGCAAAAAAAATTAAAATCCCGCAGGGAATAAATACCACCTAAATAAAGTTTTATCTGTCTCAAAAAAAATGGTAAAATATTCATTTGGGTACAGTGTTGCATGACCGCGCAATTGTCATTCAAAGTGTGATAGCGCTGAAAGCTGAAAATTGCCCTGGTCAGGAAGGGGGTAAAAGTGTCCGGTATGGAAGTGGTTAAGGAAATGACACAGGTCCAACTCTAAGATCCCTACTTCTGTGGCCTGGAGAACACTACAGCCCATGTAATCACTGTACAGGAGCTAAAAAGATAAGTTCTCTGATTTTTAGCTGAGGCAATTTTTTAAAATAAAAATCTACATAGGGTATGTATAGGGGGAAGGATAACAAAAAAAAATGAAATATGTTTGGCTAATGTTGAAATCTAAGAGGCATTGTTAAGCAGGCCATACATGGGTCGAATTCTGAATGATTTTTCTATCGAAAATCGAAAACATCGTTTGTTCTGTAATCCGATGGTGCCACCAATGATTTCGAAAATCAATCGTAATTCACAAATTTTTCCAGTATGCCCGATAAACGAAATGGGGTGGAACCACGAAAATGGGCCGGTGCCATTGCCCCACTAACAGAGCGAAAATCGGACGATTATTCTTAGGTCCGATTTCTGAACGAAAAATAATTCGAACATCGACCCACGTATGGCCGGCCTTAGTTTACCCATTCAGGAATTGATCCTTTTTGTTTTGTTTTTCTTGTTTTGCAGTGAACTGGTCAGAGTTAAGGAGGAAAGCAGCAGCATTTCATTGTTGAAAGATGAGTTCACGCATCGGATTGCGGAAGCCGAGAGAAGGGCACAGCTAGCATGTAAAGAGCGTGATACTGCAAAAAAGGTCATTAACCACTTGAGTAGTACTGTGTTGGGAGCCTATGTGTAAAAAGGTCATTAACCACTTGAGTAGTACTGTGATGGGACCACTATGGCATGACAAATTCCTTTTTTGAGTAGTTGAAAGCGGAACTTTTCCCATAACAGTTTGATAACAATCTTTAACAAAGGAACATACACTCCACATTAATAATGATGCTACCAAAATTAGTGTGTACTATAAGTTGCCCCCAGCATTGCTCTTGTCTCTTCTTGCTGGAGGTTGCCATTTTGTTGAATCACTGAGCAGTCACTTCTTTATTGTAATCCATCATTCGACTTGTGTACAACCAGCCTGTCAGGTGTTTCCTGAACAATTAGTGCTTTTGGCTATAGCTGACAACACTATTCATTGTGTGCTGCCTACTGAACACAATAGAACTGCAGGAGGAATTCCCCCATTAAGGGTCCATGTATAATGCAGCTGATAAACTCAGGTTTAGGCACTTTTCTGCGTTTTCTTTCAGCAGCCCCTGAACTCTCCCTAATGTTTTCCTATGTACAGTATGTCATTTACAGGCAGTTGAGTTTACAGTCGTTTTCTGAACGGACCAAACTTGCGTTCAGGAGTAGATTTTATCAGTGTTTCAAACTCTTGTAAACATGGCTAATCGCGTTTATAAGCGTTTGCGTTTGGAATATTTTTTTTTTAACTCTTCCATTTCAAGATGCTGTCCAGAGCCTTTTTTCATCATGAAAAATGCATGCAAAGTGTTTTCCCGGTACTCAAATGGACTCGGTACACCATACTTTGAGGTTTCGCATGAAAGAAAATATGTTAGACACTGCTGCAATAATTTCTGCACAGAAATGAGCTGGAACACATCCAAACACCACAAAAAAATAAAAAAAAATAAAAAAGACAACTAATCTCAACAAATTCATGCTCCATAGTGACTTCAAGCATAATGCAGTGAATAGTGTCCTTGTGCATAAAAAACATGCAAATGTGAACTGCAGGTGGCAATCCTCAAATAGGTGAAGTGCCCCCTCACCTTCCTGCTCAGGCCCTTAAGGACCAATGAGCCTTTTGTTATATAGTGGATCTTGGAGAGGTCCTTCAGATGGTAGATCCCTCAGGAAGTAATGGTGGGACTCTCCTCCTCTTAACTTCTATATCAGGTCGTTGGTGGTATCAGAGGTACCCCTCTCACACGGTCACCAATAAGAAGAAGAGAACTTGCATAGTGTAAAACCGCTTTAATGGATAAGTATAAAAACCAAAAATCTACTCACATGCTAAACATGCAAAAACGAGCCTTCACACCACTCAAAGGGTGTACTGCATTCAGGAACTAGGAGCACCAAGATGGCGCCCGCGCCGGATATGACGTCAGAACGTACGTGTAAGCTCCTCCCACTGGCATATCTACGCGTTACGTCACTTCAAACACGTGACTTCATCAGGATATTACGCCTATCCTGGGTGGAGCCCTATTTATCTAATGTATTGACCAATCAATGATTCGGATGGGCGGAACTCAGCCGCCATAATACTGGAGCTCACCAGACGCCCTCAGCTATCGCATTATTTCGGCTGCAAAAACGGGGACATTTTAATGTAAGCTGGTAATGGCAATCTCACATAAATATATATATATCCTCATAACTGAGTGTATGTATATTGCAATACTCACTAATAAAAACCATGTGTGAGGCTAAAACCTACATATAAAAAATATAAATATAAAGTAAAAATCATATGGATAAATATCTACAGCTGGTTAGATCTGTGATATCAAAAAATATATACCACAGTCATTTAATATAAAAATCTAGTGGGATAAAGTATATATATAAGGTATATAATCCTATACCAGGAAAATAACCCACTATGATTATAAAAAAACATATACCTGCATAATTCTATATGTTATAAAAGGGACCCGAAAAAACCTTAATGTACAGTACACCCGTCATCATGGTATTTCATTTGCAACATCCTAAGGACATAACCCCCATAAAAGGGATAATAATATATGCATAGATGTATTAATACCTAAGCTTGAATAAAATGTCATGTAAATATTAACGCAAATAGGCATTAAACTGGTCATTGCTTAAAAATTGCTAATAAAGCAATTTAAATCAAATTCTACGTTCAAACCCCTCGGGTGTTGAGACCTCATCAGGAAGATCCACTTGGATTCTGCCTGGCGTAACATATACTATTAAAGATTTCATATCCTGCCAGACGGCGGGTGTAGTATATGGGCTCCAATGTGAGTGTGGACTTCAATATATTGGAAGAACCAAGAGACCTATGTGGAAAAGGATCAGGGAGCACGTGCAGAACATCAAAAAGGGTCACACTAAACACAGCGTCTCCAAACATTTCGCCATTCATCACAATAGTGATCCCACAAAATTGAAATTCTGGGGAATAGAGAAATTTACCAACCATTGGAGAGGTAGTAATAAGGTCAGAGCTATTAGCCAGGCAGAATCCAAGTGGATCTTCCTGATGAGGTGTACTGTACATTAAGGTTTTTTTTTTCGGGTCCCTTTTATAACATATAAATTATGCAGGTATATGTTTTTTTTATAATCATAGTGGGTTATTTTCCTGGTATAGGATTCTATACCTTATATATATATACTTTTTCCCACTAGAGTTTTTTATATTAAATGACTGTGGTATATATTTTTTTGATATCACAGATCTAACCAGCTGTAGATATTTATCCATATGATTTTTACTTTATATTTATATATTTTTATATGTAGGTTTTAGCCTCACACATGGTTTTTATTAGTGAGTATTGCAATATACATACACTCAGTTATGAGGATATATATATATTTAGGTGAGATTGCCATTACCAGCTTACATTAAAATGTCCCCGTTTTTGCAGCCGAAATAATGCGATAGCTGAGGGCGTCTGGTGAGCTCCACTATTATGGCGGCTGAGTTCCGCCCATCCGAATCATTGATTGGTCAATACATTAGATAAATAGGGCTCCACCCAGGATAGGCGTAAATCCTGATGAAGTCACGTGTTTGAAGTGACATAACGCGTAGATACGCCAGTGGGAGGAGCTTACACGTACGTTCTGACGTCATATCCGGCGCGGGCGCCATCTTGGTGCTCCTAGTTCCTGAATGCAGTACACCCTTTGAGTGGTGTGAAGGCTCGTTTTTGCATGTTTAGCATGTGAGTAGATTTTTGGTTTTTATACTTATCCATTAAAGCGGTTTTACACTATGCAAGTTCTCTTCTTCTTATTGGTGACCGTGTGAGAGGGGTACCTCTGATACCACCAACGACCTGATATAGAAGTTAAGAGGAGGAGAGTCCCACCATTACTTCCTGAGGGATCTACCATCTGAAGGACCTCTCCAAGATCCACTATATAACAAAAGGCTCATTGGTCCTTAAGGGCCTGAGCAGGAAGGTGAGGGGGCACTTCACCTATTTGAGGATTGCCACCTGCAGTTCACATTTGCATGTTTTTTATGCACAAGGACACTATTCACTGCATTATGCTTGAAGTCACTATGGAGCATGAATAAGTTGCTTGAGTGTATGCCATCTCCAGTCCATCACTATATATAGGTGGCATGGTTGTTTGAGCTACCTATATATAAGGTGGGGAGTATATAATTATATGTCATTTGATGCAATATATCTTATTTTGTCTGAGCGCCGCACTGTCTTATAATTTTATCTTTTCTGAATATTGTTGGTGTTGTGATTGTGGCACCTTTAGTGCCGGCTGCTGATTAGTATCATTATATATAGTAGCGCAGGAGACATCTTTACATTTATTTTTGATAATCTCAACAAATACTTTCATCATTCAGAAGTGTCCAGGGTACATGGAGTCTAACACTGACAGGCTGACAGAAGCTTTAAAGTGCTGAAATTCACAGGTTGCCTGAGGGAGAAAGGAGAGAATATCGGGGAGATTAAGCTAAGACATTATCCTTGTAAGTTTTTGTGTTTTCCCTGGCAGCAGAATTTGTCCTGTAACCTCTCCTCCTTTTTTCTCCCTCCAGAGTCTGTGTTCCCTCAGCACAGTCCCTGTCATTCCTGTTGCTTTCTTTCCTCTTCAGCAATTGTAAATCTTAAGGCTGGTAGCTGAAAGGCCTCTAGTGGCTCTAATGTTCGGCACAGTGCAGAGAATAGATAACAACTGAGCATGTGCAGAGCAGAGTGAGGCAGAGCATTACTGGATTGTATCTAGTATAGGTACTTATTTTTAATGTTTTACATAGCTATACCTGCAAAAGGGGCCAGCCTGAAGTGATCTATCAGGACTTAATTTTCTGACTAGAGTTCCACTTTAAGCTTGTAGTCTTCTCCAGTGGCAATCCGCTAAGACTATTTGCAGTCACATCTACTTTCCAAATATTTAAATTCCCTCAACAGAGTAACTGTAGATGGGAGCAAGATTTGGGTAATATTCTGGAAGGTCATTGGAGGCAAATCCTTACCATGGTACCCAAAATGTCTCTTTCACAGTCAGGTAGACTGACTTCATTGTTCAGGACATACAGTATTGTGAAAAAATAATTTGCCCCCTTCCTGTGCTTTTTTTTTCTTTTCATCTTTGTCATACCTAAATGAGTCAGATCATCAACCAAAATTTAACATTACACAAAGATAACCCGAGTAAATACAAAATGCAGTTTTTAAATAACGATTTCATTTTTTAAGGGAATAAAGCTGTCCAAACTTGCCTGGCCCTATGTGGATAAAGTAATTGCCCCCCTAAACCTAATAACTGGTTGTGCCACCCTTGGCAGCAACAACTTCCATCAAGCGTTTGCGATAATTGGCAATGAGTCTTTCACATCGCTTTGGAGGAATTTTCTCCCACTCTTCTTTGCAGAATTGTTTAATTCAGCCACATTGGAGGGTTCACATGAACGGTCTGTTTTAGGTCTTGCCATAACATCTCAATTGGATTGAAGTCTGGACTTTGACTAGGCGACTCCAAAACCATAATTTTGTTTTTGAATTATTCAGAGATTAATTTACTGGTGTGTTTTGGATCATTGTACTGGATTGTACTGGATCATTGGATTTTGGATCATTGTATCATTGTCACTGCATAACCCAAGGGCACTTGTTGAGGTCACAAACTGATGGCCGGACATTCTCCTTCAGTTTTTTTTTTTTGGTAGAGCACAGAATTCATGGTTCCATCAGTTATGGCGAGTCGTGCAGGTCCTGAAGCTGCAAAGGAGCCCCAGACCAAAACCCTACCACCACCATGTTTGACTGCTGGTATGATGTTCTTTTTATGTAATGCTGTGTTACTTATACGTCAGATGTGATGGGATGCACACCTTCCAAAAAGTTCAACTTTTGTCTCATCAGTCCACAGAATATTTCCCAAAAGTCGTGGGGATAATCAAGATGTTTTTTGACAAATGTGAGATGAGCCTTTGTGTTCTTTTTCGCTTTCGCCTTGTAACTCCCATGGATGCCATTTTTGCCCAGTCTCTTTCTTGCTGTTGAATCCTGAACACCGACCTTAACTGAGACAAATGAGGTTGCAGTTCTTTTATGACGTCCTGGATGAGTCGTTGTCGTGCTCTTGCAATAATTTTGGTAGGCCGGTCACTCTTAGGAAGCGTGCTTCACTTTAATTGTTCTCTTAATTCAACAGGTCTGGCAGTAATTAGGCCTGGGTGTGGCAAGTAAAATTTAGCTCAGCTTTTCAAAACGTGGTTAATCACAGTTCATTCATGATTTAGCAAGGGGAAACAATTACTTTTTCACATAGGGCCAGGCAGGTTTGGACAGCTTTTTCTCTTAATAAATGAAGTCACCTTTTAAACAATTTTGTATTTACTGGGGTTGTGTTTGTGTAATATTAAATTTGTTTAATGATCTGAATCATTTAAGTGTGACAAGTATGCTAAAAATAAATGTGTGTGTGTGTGTGTGTGTGTGTGTGTATATATATATGTATCTATCAGGAAGGGGGCAAATACTTTTTCACATACCTCACTTTTAATTTAACATTGAGTTACATGCTGACTCTAGCTGCAGGAGGTGTGGGAGAGACTTCATCTGCTATGGAGCTGTAAAATGCTTCACCAATACTGGAATGATGGTACTGAACATAGTATTCAGCCTTTCTTTATCGTCAACTGCCTCACAGGTATACTTATTACTTTGACAGGTCAACTTTAGAGCTACTCACTGTAGATGCAGTTGGTGGAGCTCTCTTTACTGCATGTAAATTGGTTGCTAGGATGTTGGTCTCCCCAGCTCTCCTCCCCACAACCAAGGAATTTTGAGAATTGCACTATAAACTCGTTTTAAATGCTGATGTTTGCTGACAGCCCGCTGAAATTTTCTCCACAAATTCTGTTTTCTGTGGGTTGAAAGGACTGCTATTCCCTTTTGGTTACCTTGTGTAACAAGCACCCCTTGTTTGTGCCTGACGTGAGCAGTGATGTGGATTGGTATCCTTTGTTTAAAATTCCACAAACCATGACAGTGTCTGTTTCAGGTCCTATAGAAGGACACTGTTATAATATGTACATCTTAAGGATGTCACTGTGTTTATTATACTTAACAATTCATGTTATATAGTACTTGTCTGATGTTTTTTATTGTATAATGTTCAGGGTGTGTTTTTGTTATGGAAAAAAACATAAAAATAGTCTTGATGTACAAAAAAAAAGTATAAAATAATAATTTAGTGCCGGCTTCTGGGTTATTAGCACCATTCTCCAGATAATGAACACCAAGGAATAAACATGTCCTTTTCCTCTAGGAACTACAAACTTAGACATCCGTTTTTATTTTTGGACCAGGCTGGTTCAAACGGTTTACTTCACTAAGGCTTTGTTCACTATGTGTTGATTATGAAGAATGAAGCAATGTCAGTTAACCTTCCTACAGCATTTATGTTGTGTTTTATGAAGCATTAAAAATGCTTCAAGTATGCCTGATAAGTACCCATGGAAGTGTGCTTTTCTAGTGGGAAATGATGTAGAGGTAATGATCTACTTTGAGGCGTGGTTAGGTTGGAGCCTCCATGGTCTGTCTCCCAGTGCCCAGCTAACACTTTATAAATGCTTCACTAACACACCACAAATGGTCTAGGTGTTGTTATGGTGCAGGTTCTAGAGCATTACCATTGAAATCAATGGTGGCAGATGCTTGTCAGCGACATGCTGCTTAATTTTTAACACAACACAAGATGCTACCACTTCTGTGTGTACAGCATTGTGTGGTGCCACTGTAATGTTTAAGGCAGGTGTTAAAGGGCAGTTATGAGGCTTAAAAAATGCTGAATAAATGCTGCATAAACACAGGGTAGTGACACACGTGTGAACAAGCCCTAGGACATGCAGTGGCTCTCAGCACTATGGACTGTATGTAGCCTCAGCACTGTGTTCCATCATTAGGATGGAGATTTCCCATCCCACACCCAGAACAAAATTGAGTTGGGCTGAGCGCTGCTCAGTCATTCACAGGAGTTTTGTATTTTAATTAATACAAAGCTTCCTCTGATTAGCTGAAGTGAAGATTGTGTGTCATCTGCCTGCCTCTCCACCTTCTCCAATCAGATGAGATTCAAAAATACAAAGCTCCTTGTGAATGGCTGAGCAGCACTGAGGCTACAATCTGTACAGCTCTGGGAGCTGCTGAATGTCTTAGGGAAAAATATTGTTCTTTTGGTCCGAACAAAAAGATCAGCTTTGAGTGTTGTTGACAGTCATCCCATTAGGAGCATTTTGATTGTGATGGGGTACAAATGAGGTGACAACCAAAAAATGGTTAAATCTCAGCAGAAAGACATTAATATTGTAGATTTGCAATAGTTTTTAAAAATTGCTCTTTAATATAATTCTCAGGAAGTAAAATCTGTGAAGGAGGAGCTAGCAACACGGCTGAACTCCAGTGAAACAGCAGAGCTAATGAGAGAGAAGGATGAGCAAATTAAAGGGCTCATGGAAGAAGGTGAGTAGATTAGATAAAAGTGGAGCCTTCAGCAGCTTTACCCTTCTGCATGAATGCATTTCATTTTTAATTATTAGACTTACTAATCCATTGATTTATTATGTCTCTTAAAGAGACCCTGTCACAAATTTAAAAAAAAATCACAAAAATGTAAATGCTTTCTTGCATTTTCTTTTTCTTTTCAATTAATTACTTTACTTCACATGCAGTGTGCCTTTGAACTTGATAGAAGATTTGTCTACTCCAGGAGATTTAATTTTTTTATTTTTATTTTTATTTTTATTTTTTTTTTAGCATAGCCTCCTCCCTGCTTGCACTCAATAGCCCTGTCTCCTGGGAGTGTAATTTTACTCTCTATGCTGGCCCAGCTCTGTATGTACATTGCTCAAAAAAATTAAAGGAACACTTTGAAAACACATCAGATCTCGGTGAGAAAAAATATCATGCTGGATATCTACTGATATGGAAGGGTAATATATTGGGAACGTAAGGGTTCCCCATTGTTTGATGGAAATGAAAGTTACCAACCTACAGAGGACTGAATTCAAAGACACCCTGAAAATCAAAGTAAAAAAATGATGCAGCAAGCTAGTGCATTTTGCTGAAATTTCATTGCAGCAACTCAAAATGGTATTCAGTAGTTCATATTGCCCCCACGTGCTTGTATGCATGGCTGACAATGTCAGGGCATGCTCTTAATGAGAGGATGGATGGTGTCCTAGGTATTTTCTCCCAGATCTGGAACAGGAAGCTCCTGGACAGTCTGAGGTCGGACGGTGTCGGATGGACTGAAACATGATATCTCAGAGGTGTTCTATTGGATTTAGGTGAGGTGAGCGTGGGGGCCATTCAATGGTGTCAATTCTTTCATTCTCCAGGAACTGCCTGCATACTCTCGCCTCATGAGGTTGGTCATTGTTGTGCACCAGGAGGAACCCAGGACTCTCTGCACCAGCTTAGGGTCTAACAATGGGTCCAAGAATTTCATCGCGATACCTAATGGCAGTCAGGGTGCCATTATCTAGCCTGTAGAGGTCTATGCGTCCCACCATGGATATGCCTCCCCAGACCATCACTGACCCACCACCAAAACAGTCATGCTGAATGATGTTACAAGCTGCATGACGTTCTCCATGGCTTCTCCAGACTCTTTCACGTCTGTCACATGTGCTCAGGGTGAACCTGCTCTCATCTGTGAAAAGCACAGGGTGCCAGTGGCGGCCCTGTCAATTCTCGTGTTCAATGGCAAATGCAAGTTGTGCTCTATGGTGCTGGGCAGTGAGCACAGGGCCTACTAGAGGACATCGGGCCCTCATGCCACCCTCATGAAGTCTGTTTCTGATTGTTTGGTCCGAGACATTCACACCAGTGGTCTGCTGGAGGTCATTTTGTAGGGCTCTGGCAGTGCTTATCCTGTTCCTCCTTGCACAAAGGAGCAGATACTGGTCTTGCTGATGGGTTAAGGACCTTTTTCGGCCCTGTCCAGCTCTCCTAGAGTAACTGTCTGTCTCTTGGAATCTCCTTCATGCTCTTGAGACTGTGCTGGGAGACACCGCAAACCCTCTTGCAATGGCACGTATTGATGTGCCATCCTGCAGGAGTTGGACTGCCTGTGCAACCTCTGTACGGTCCAGGTATCACTTCATGCTACCAGTAGTGACACTGACCCTAACCAAATGCCAAACTAGTGAAAAACAGAAAAGATGAGTAGGAAAATAATGTCCGTGGCCTCCACCTGTAAAACCATTCCTGTTTTGGGGGTTGTCTCATTGTTGCCCATCTAGTGCGCCTGTTGTTATTTTCATTAACACCAAAGCAGCTGAAACTGATTAACAACCCCCTCTGCTACTTACCTGACCAGATCAATATCCCACGAGTTTAATTGACTTGATGCTATACTCTGAATAAAAAGTGTTCCTTTAATATTTTTGAGCAGTGTAGTTACTAGGGATGAAGTGAAGAGGAATATTTTAGAGTGCCACTTGGCTTGTTGTTTGTATATGTGATGTCAGCAGACTCAAAGTAGTCATCTGACATCACATATACAAACACCAAGTAGTCGTCTCAGGGCTTTTGAATGCCTGCACAAGGGAGACTTTTACAGTTTAATAACCTGCATAAAATATGTTAAATATACATATAATCTTGCTGGTTGATTTCTGTTGAAACAAATGGTGTGGCAACAGGATCTCTTTAAAAGGCCCAATTTTTTTTCTGGCTGTTTTTATTGTATATTTGTGTGCCTGATAAGTACATCTGGAATCGCCTTTTCGGCACGTAGCATTTGTTTCTTCCCCATTGTCCGCAGTACAATGTCCCTTCACTACTTCTGTTAAAACAAACAGTCAAGCTTGATTTCAGCAGTGATGTTATACAGTTGTAAATGTCAGCAGTCATACATCAGTTATCAGCAAGAACTGATAGAGCTCTTTCATCCCTAACCAAACTGAACATTTCCTGCTGTGACAGGGGAGAAGCTTTCTAAACAACAGCTGCATAATTCCAATATTATCAAGAAGCTGCGATCGAAGGAAAAGGAGCATGAGCACACAGTCACAAAACAGGCAAAGAAAATTCGGGAGCTGGAGGATGAACTGCAGCTGTTACAGCAGGTAAAGTATTACTCCAAGCTTTTCATATGTGCGGTCTTCTCAGCAAGTGAAATTGCATGTCTTTTTTTCTTTTGAAGTATATTCCTGGACAGAATAAAAAAAACATATTCCATGCACCTCTATAATACATACACATTTTTCCCCATGTTCTGTAAAACAAATTACAGAAGTACAGAAATACAGTCAGGTCCATAAATATTGGGACATCGACACAATTCTAACATTTTTGACTCTATACACCACCACAATGGATTTGAAGTGAAACGATCAAGATGTGCTTTATCTGCAGGCTGTCAGCTTTAATTTGAGGGTATTTACATCCAAAACAGGTGAACGGTGGAGGAATTACAACAGTTTGCATATGTGCCTCCCACTTGTTAAGGGACCATAAATCAAACTTTCACTTTTTAATACTTGGTTGCAAATCCTTTGCAGTCAATTACAGCCTGAAGTCTGGAACGCATAGACATCACCAGACGCTGGGTTTCATCCCTGGTGATGCTCTGTCAGGCCTCTACTGCAACTGTCTTCAGTTCCTTCAGTGCCGTCTTCCCCTACATATTTTCGACGTCAGTCACGCCTCTGTACAGCCTCCCCTCTGATGATGTGCCTATAGCACGAAAGGCCTAAGGAGGAGCTGTGCAGAGCGTGACGTCATTCGTACCGCCGGAGCCACGAGGAGGCTCGGCGGACATCTTTACTAGGGTCAGTATTGCTACCTTCCTAATTTTAACCTTTTATGGGTCTGGATCTGCATGCTACCCTGTATTTTATGCTGAAGCAAATAAATTTTTCTTAAACATACTACACCATCTCTGGCACCTGTTTTTTTGGGGCTCCTTTGTGGAGCTGTTACCCCCACAGAGAAGGTGCCTGTACCATTCAGAGGAGAGAGTTTCACCACCAGTGTGGAGTGCCTGATTGACCGTAAAGGGGACCTCAGGATCCAGTTTTGAGTTTTCGGTGACCCACGGTGAGAGGGATGCCTGCCATCTGAACTTTGAAGGATCTGACATCTGGAATGATTATTCCTACATGCGCATAACCCATGTGTTTCTGGTGAGTGCGCATTGCTATTATTTGAGGCCGCAAGAGCTTTGGAAGTTTGCACCCTTTTATAAGAAACCACGGATATTAATACACTGACTTCTGACTGTTTTCAGTTTAATTTCTTTAGCGCTGCACCATACTACCCTTGTTTATATTTTGTATTTAGAGGCATTGTGGTTGCCTTAGGTGTTCTAGCTGCTGTGTTTATACAAGAGCGCTCACTACAATCCACTTTTGTTTTTGTCTTCAGTTCCTGCTTGTTCTTGGGGCATTTTCCCTTCAGTTTTGTCTTCAGCAAGTGAAATGCATGCTCAATCGGATTCAGGTCAGGTGATTGACTTGGCCATTGCATAACATTCCACTTCTTTCCCTTAAAAAACTCTTTGGTTGCCTTTGCAGTATGCTTTGAGTCATTGTCCATCTGCACTGTGAAGCGGCGTCCAATGAGTTGTGAAGCATTTGGCTGAATATGAGCAGATAATATTGCCCGAAACACTTCAGAATTCATCCTGCTGCTTTTGTCAGCAGTCACACCATCAATAAATACAAGAGAACCAGTTCCATTGGCAGCCATACATGCCCACGCCATGACACTACCACCACCATGCTTCACTGATGAGGTGGTATGCTTAGGATCATGAGCAGTTCCTTTCCTTCTCCATACTCTTCTCTTCCCATCACTCTGGTACAAGTTGATCTTGGTCTCATCTGTCCCATAGGATGTTGTTCCAGAACTGTGAAGGCTTTTTTAGATGTCGTTTGGCAAACTCTAATCTGGCCTTCCTGTTTTTGAGGCTCACCAAATGTTTACATCTTGTGGTGAACCCTCTGTATTCACTCTGGTGAAGTCTTCTCTTGATTGTTGACTTTGACACACATACACCTACCTCCTGGAGAGTGTTCTTGATCTGGCCAACTGTTGTGAAGGGTGTTTTCTTCACCAGGGAAAGAATTCTTCAGTCATCCACCACAGTTGTCTTAGGGTCTTTTGGTGTTGCTGAGCTCACCAGTGCGTTCCTTCTTTTTAAGAATGTTCCAAACAGTTGTTTTGGCCACGCCTAATGTTTTTGCTATCTCTCTGATGGGTTTGTTTTGTTTTTTCAGCCTAATGATGGAGCCAATTGTCCCATTACTTTTGGTCCCTTAACAAATGGGAGGCACATATGCAAACTGTTGTAATTCCTACACCGTTCACCTGATTTGGATGTAAATACCCTCAAATTAAAGCTGACAGTCTGCAGTTAAAGCACATCTTGTTCGTTTCATTTCAAATCCATTGTGGTGGTGTATAGAGCCAAAAATGTTAGAATTGTGTCGGTGTCCCAATATTTATGGACCTGACTGTATGTCTGTTGCTCATTCCAGCTTTACGAGGAAGTACAAACCTGTGAATTGGGCCAGTGCCTTCTATTAATGGCTGTTGCATGATGTAACAGGAATCTTTAGACTTCAGTTACAAGTATTGGACCATGCCTTACTTTCTGCAGTGCACTAACAACACAAGGGTTTATTTATGAAAGCTGGAGAGTGCAAAATCAGATGCACCTCTGCATAGAAACCAATCTTCTTCCAGGTTTTATTGCCAAAGCTTATATAGCTGAGTTTAGAACCTGATTGCTTCACAGGTGCACCAGATTCTGAGTGCACCAGTTTTAGTAAACCTACCCCACAGTGCCTCTGTTGCACTGAAATCCTAAGCAGTGTTGTCAGCCCTGCCTAGTTTTCTCTGTAGACACCCCCTTCTCATCCCAAGACGTAAGGGGATGGTGTTCTGTAGCCCACCAGGGAAGAACTCCGGGAACATTTTTAAGCAGCCCAGTTGAAAAGAGAGAAGAAGAGTACAAAGCAAAGTGACAAAAATCACATCATCTTAATAGTTCCTAACCCCCCTCCTCAAGACTTGTATCAGTTTTGGGTAATCTTGCTCACCATTTTATTATACCTTCTGGAGATTTTGCTGGTATCATTGTAGAATTCTACCCAATGCACTTGTGTGGGGGAAGAATACAATGTTTTTTGACACGTGCATGAGCACTCCTCTATAATGCATACATTTAAAGTGGTAGTAAAGTTATAAACAAATTGGCCCCCTGGCGGTTTAAGTCACAATATGCTAGTATGCCCCACATTCTAGCACATTATGACAAGCTTACCTTCAAAGACCTCCAGCAGAGTGCTGTCACTGCTGTTGGCGCTTCCTTTCTCACGGTCTTCCTTCCAGGTTTGCGGGCTTCGGCCATTTGAATTGCCAGGCTGTATGACGTCATTCCTACACGTATACGCACTGGAATCACTATTGCAGCACATCTCTCAATGGAAGGCATGCTCCAGTATGCCATCCTTTCAGAACGCAGTGTGCATGTGTGGGTGACATCACCGGCCTCTACAATTGTGATTATCTCAAACAGTATAACATTTTGGAGATAGGCTAATTTGTAGGTACAGTATAAGTCACAAAGAGGACTTTACTACCACTAAAGCAGAATATATTTAGCTACATCTGTATAGGTACTATTAAAATACTACAAATCTATCTCAAATACATAGTAAATGCACCTTTCCCCATGTTTTGTCCCTTTTTAAAAAGCTGCAAGTGCTGGAAAAAAAAAAAAACGTTGATAAGCCAAAAATCCAGTGAGCTCCTATCTTCCAGTAGTAGGCGGAAAACGCTGTCTCCGCTACTCTGAAACCACTTGCAGTGTTGTCAGCCCTGCCCAGCTTGGGATTTCAGTGCAGCAGAGACAGCGTTTTCAGCTCCCTATGGATGGCACAGCAGACCTAAACAGACACAAGCAGGGTACCAGATAACCTTTGGTGCATTCTATGCCCTTCTACAGGCTGTTCAAACATTCTATATAAGCCATTCATGCGTTCTTCTGTTACCCTCCTGTATCTTGGCATAGAAAGACCCACGACTGGTTAGTATTTGCTGTTAAGCCTACAATGAGCCTAAATATGCTCCTTTTATAAAAACGGAGGGTTCAAAAGGTTGACTATATTTCCATGGGAACTTCTAGCTTGGAGCATTCTGGTAATGATGGTTTTAGGCAGTAAGAAGTATCTGTCTTGCAGACATTGGATGGTAAGGAAGAGCTTGAGAAGCAGCATCGGGAGAACATCAGGAAACTGAACAGTGTGGTGGAAAGGCAGGAAAAGGACGTGGGAAGGCTGCAGACTGAACTGGAAGAAGTTCAAGAGAAGAACCGCAGCGTCCAAGCTGCATTGGACAGTTCCTATAAGTAAGGAAACAAGACAAAGTCAGGAAATAATTTATTTTGGGTTGCTGTTTCTGACACCAATACTTCAAAAAAAAAAAAAAAGGGCTGTTCCATTTATTAATAAAGTTAAGCATTAGATCCTCTATTGGTTCTTTATTTCTTTATTGATAGTAAAGGAAAACTGTAGTATTTTAGTCCATTCATGCTTGTGTGACTTTGGGGTCCCAAAGTCACATGACAAGTCGCACCCCATGTTTCCCAATGAGTACCATTCATATTTGTGTGACTTCAAGTCACAGCGACTTGAAAGTAGTTCCTGCACTATTTTGGTCAGATCTTCATGCGACTTGAGGGCCATAGATTTTAATGTAAACCCTCCAGAGTCGCATGAAAGTCATACCTGCATGATATACGTGCAATGGTGCAACTTTGTGCAGCAGAAGCAATCATCCTTGGTCAAAGCCAAAGTCACATCAAGTTTCACTGTAAAGTCACAATAAAAATTGCACGATTTTTGAAGTCGCACAAGTGTGAATGGAGCTTTAGTAAGAACTTATTTTAAGTTGCTGAGATTTTATTGTATATGTTTTGAAATGCTGTCCCATAACATCATAGTTGTTTTAAAGTATATCTAAAGCCAAAACCTTTCATGTTGTTTGGATGGAGTATGAAAGGGTTAGGACTAGGGTTGCACCGAAATTTCTGTGGCCGAAAACACCCCTTTCGGCTGTCGGCCGATATGAAAAAAAAAAAAAAAAGCACCGATACAGGTGCCGAAAAAACCCCGCCCGCCGCTGCCGCCACTGGCCGCTGCTCGGTAGTTCTCAGCCTTACCTGAGAAACCATCGAACGATCCTGGCGCTGGGCATAGAGATTAGTGAAGGAAAGATGGCCTCTCCACTCATCTCTATGCCCTTGGAGGACTGGAGTGATGGCACTTCTGGTTCCAGTCATTTTTTTTTAATGCACTAGATCAATGCTTTTTTTGATCTAATGGTTTACATTGCAGAGGAGAGATGTGGGGTCTTGTTGACCTCACATCTCTCCATAAAGAGGACCTGTCACTATTTATTTCTATCACAAGGGATGCATGCATTCCTTGTGATAAGAATAAAAGTGATTAAACATTTTTTTAAAGGGACAGTGCAAAAAAAAAAAATACGTTTAAAGTGCACCTGTCCCCCCATGCTCCCACATAGTGGTGAACGCATACGTAGGCCATGCCCACATATGTAAATGGTGTTCAAACTGCACACATGAGGTATCGCCACGAATGTCAGAGCAAGAGCAATAATTCTCACACTAGACCTCCTCTGTAACTTTACACTGCTAATCTAGAAATTTTTAAAGCCTTACCAATGGAGATTTTTAGGTACTGCAGTTTCACGCCATTCCACGAGCATGCACAATTTTAAATCGTGACATATTGGGTATCTATTTACTCACCATAACATCCTCTTTCATATTTTACAAACATATTGGTGTATGTATTTTGGGTTTTTTTTTGTTTGTTTAATCAAAGTGTTTTTTTTTTTTTTTAAATTTATATTAATTTTTAAAAACTGCGCGTTTCGGTTTTCGGCCAAGTGCATTTTGAATTTTCTGTTTCGGCACCAGAATTTTCATTTTGGTACTCCACTAGTTCTTGTGTATTTATTGCTCTCTGTGTCCCTGCTGGGGGAGATTCATCTTCTCTATGGCTTCATGCACACAAGCGATAGGGGGCGTATGATTTAAATTCAGACATAAATCCATGTGCAGGATCCACAACACATTTTTACTGCTGTCTATCCGCGCTGGGAAGAGTCACTCTTTTTATCTGTCATTAAAAGGTGCTCTCAGAATCTCAGTGCAGTTTCTCTGTCTATAGAATGACTACCTTCATTGTATTATGTGTAGCTTACCATTTTTTGTATCTGTCACCAATGACTGGCCATAGAGCATGGCGATGTCTGGGTTAGATTCTTTACAGCTCCAAACAGATAGGTGCTTCAAAGTTCTGCTTGTCTGCAGACTCTGTTAATCTCGAAAGTGTGCCTCTTTTTTTTTTTTACTCTTCCAGGGAGCTTGCTGAGTTACACAAGGCCAACGCTACAAGAGCCAGTGAGGCTCAGGAAGTGGCATTAAGCTGCGAGATCAAAGCAAAAGAAGAAATGTGTTTAGTACTAGAAAAAGCCAAGGAGGAAACGCACAAACAGCAGGAGGCATTGGGCATGCAGGCAAGTAATCTAATTGTTACATTATTCATTTTTAATCTTTTTTGGACACATCTGTCCCATCGTGCACTGTTTTCCCCATGCAGCCTGTTGAATTATTAATTGTTCTCAATATTAAAATGTTTGCCAAAATCTGTGTTGCCTGTTGTTGTCCTCTGCTGACCATGTGGGGGATGGGTTAAATTCATTTTTTTGTTTTTTAATTTAAATGTTTTATTTTCAAATCACCATATTAAATGTACAAAAGCTAATAAAACAGACAGTATACATTACACATTTCTGTCATAACACTCCCCAGAAATAACCTTAATCTCGGTGACCTTTTACCCCTCCCCTTACCTATTCCCCCCCACCCTCTGACTATGCATTTTTAACTTCATTCTAGAAATCCTGAACCCTAGCTATTACTGGTATTATACTGTACTATATTTATCCCCTTCCCCTTCTTTTCCTTATTTCACATATTCTAGGTATACCTCTGAATTTTTAAACTGTTCCCACTTTTCCCAACTTGTACGAAATACCTCCATTTTATCTTCTGCCATATGGTAAAGTTCCTCCATTCTATATATCTTCTCCACACTTTCTACCCAATCCTTTATTTTCAGTGCCTGTTGTTTCTTCCAAAACTTCAGGATCAGTCCCTTTGCCTCATTTAAATAATACAATAATCTAGTTTTTTTAATATTTTTTAACCGAAAACTCGGTACCAAAAAGAAGGCAAGTCTCAGGGTCCTTAGGAATATTTACCTCTGTTATTTCCTGAATTATATTCACTATGCCCTCCCAGTATTCTTGAATTTTGTGACACTCCACCATAAGTGTTTCATTGTACCTCTCTCTCCACATCCCCGCCAACATAAAGGTGAGTTGTCTCACTTATTCTATGCGCTACATTTGGTGTAATCTACCGTCTTACTAAACACTTATAATTAATTTCCATTTCCTTTATATTTACGTTCCCGTGAATTAAACTATATATTTTCTTTTGTTTTCCCTCATCAATTATTACTTCTAAATCCCTTTCCCACTTCTCTATAAATAGTGGCCTTGTAGCCATGATTAAACCTGTGAGAATTTTATATATTTTAGTGATCTCGTGCTTCGGATCGGTTACATTCAGATATGAAAAAATACATTTCTGCAAACGTGCAGTCATATCTTAATCCTTTTGTGACTGGGGGTCATCCATGCCTAAATGCCCAGGCCAAATTTCGTAGCCAATAAGTCACAATCACTGATTTAAACTTTTGCACGCTTTTTTTTTTTTTTTTTTTTAAAACACGTTGCTATTCATTTTAATGGCCAGAACCATTTGATTGCTTTTGTTGGAATGCCCCTCTGTATTATGAGGCGCTATGTTAGTTCAGCTTAGTGAAACCAACTTGTTTGTAAACCATGCAATGTGATCACTAAGGCACATGTCACATCCTGTCACTAGGTACAATCTCACATCAACAAGATCACTAGAAAATAGAGGACACATGCAAGCATTGTATGTGTCGCTCCCTGTCTGGCTTCTGTAGTGAGATGTCACTCCTTTGCTGCTGAAAACGCTGCATAACCTGTGTGGCTGATGAGAAAGTGCTGTCTTGCTTCTCCCGCTGGTAAGGAAGTGACACATGCAGATGTGTTTTTTTTGCTCACTTGCGTCATTCTTCAAGGCAATCCTGCTGCTGGTGAGTTCTTGCCAATAGCAGGATCACAGTGGTAAATCGCCCTAAGATATCGTAGTGATCACATAATGTGAACAATGCTTATTGGTTCCTGGTCACCATTTTATTAGGGTACCTTCAGCATGAGCATTGTGCTAGGGAATGTTAGTGTAGGGGATGCAGATAGGAAGGGGTTAAGCTAGATCTATAAACATCAGAGGGCAGATGGATTTGCAGACACAAGCTGAACGTTGAAAGATATTTTCTGTAAAACATCTCTTCATAAACATGTATGCTTGGATCATCCGTGTTCAGGATTGTGCCTAGAGGGTAAGAAAAAGAAAAAAGGGTGACCTCTACCATGGCTTATCTCAGGAAAAACAGTAACCATCAGCTAAATCTAGTGAAGGCTTTTGGGGCCCATTCACACCAGATGCACCTGCCCTCCAACTGCATAGACAGACCAAAATCCAGGTTCATAGTTCACACTACTGCAGTGCAGCAAAAAAAAGTACAGCAAGCTGCATTTTTCCACAATACAAAAGCATGGAAATGCACATAAAAGCACAAAGATCAAAGAAAAAAAAATAGAAGTAACTTCAAAGGAAATGTAAGCTTGGGAAAAATGCACCTCAAATGCAACACTGCATGCAAAAATGTAAACGAGTAATGTCTTGTGTGAATGGGCCCTTTGCAGTTGTGCGTGAATTTTTCAATTGGTATTTTTTTTTTCTTCTTTATCTTTTTGCCTGAAATCTTATTTTCATATATTATTAGGTAACTGATCTGAGGATTGCCCTTCAAAGAGCAGAACAACAGGCCGCAAGAAAGGAGGATTATCTGCGGCAAGAAATTGCCGAACTACAACAGGTGATCTGCAGTATACTTGGTCATGAAATATAACAAAATGGCTTTCTTTTGCACAGCTTACTTTTTTAATTTTAAAACAACTTGGGCACTAGAATAAAAAAAATCTCCAGCATCTGCCTTCTGTAAAAGAATAAGTTGTTTACTAACCTGACTGGTGGTGAGTTAGTAAATTTTTGCTCTGGGCACTGCTTCTATCAAATACCTCCAGACATGTCAATAAGCATGTCCCCAATGGGCAATATGGACAGTTCTGCCAGCCCATATATCTATACTACCCTGCATTGGCATAGGGATCAGCAGAAGGAACCACAGTGCTCTGTGGAGGGCACAGTATGCATCACACCCAGAAGTATTTGATAGCAGCAGCGCCCAAGGCTAAGAATTCATTCACTGAGCACCAGATTGGTTAGTATACAACGTATTGTTTTACAAAGGGCAGCCTCTGATTTTTTTTTCTTTTTTGTATACTTGCAACTAGGTCATTTTAAAAGTGAAGAACCGCTTTAAAGTAGAGCATGTCACCCCTCTTGCTATCCCTTCTACCTGTACATAGAGGCTGTTGTACTTTCTTTATTACTCCCTCTCTCATGGTACAGCTCTCTAGCAATCCCGAGATAGCAGCTGTGGAACTCTGTAAAAAGCTGCTGCACTTACTTACACATTAGCTTCCTTTACTTACTTACACTTTAGCATCCTTTATCTGTTCTCTCCCCATTGAATGGAATTTTTTTTTCTATTGACATACAGTAAAATAAAATGGTTCCATCCAGTCAGAAGATGTCATTGTATTTGGACAGACTGTATAAGAACTAACTTTACTTTCAAAGGACTGATTTCCTGTGTTTTCACAACATACAGTTGTGTTCAAAATAATAGCAGTGTGTTGAAAAAAGTGAATAAAGCTCAAAATCCTTCTAATAGCTTTTATTTCCATCCACACAAATGCATTGGGAACACGACACATTCTATTCCAAATCAAAAATTGAAGAAAAATATATCAAATTTGTGTTTTTCCTCTAAAAAATTTGAAGAAAAGTGAATATTAGACTGTTCAAAAAAATAGCAGTGTTTGTATTCTTCTTTACAAACTCAAACATTCACAATATAAACTGAAAAATGTTTGAAGATTTTGCTTTCCTTTGAATCACTTAATTAATATTTCGTTGTATAAGCACTGTTTCTGAGAACTGCTGTACATCTGTGTTGCATGGAGTCAACCAACTTCTGGCCCCTGTGAACAGGTATTCCAGCCCAGGATGATTGGACTACATTCCACAGTTCTTCTCTATTTCTTGGTTTTGCCTCAAAAACTGCATTTTTGATGTCACCCCACAAGTTTTCTATTGGATTAAGATCCAGGGATTGGGCTGGCCACTCCATAACGTCAATCTTGTTGGTCTGGAACCAAGATGTTGCACGTTTACTGGTGTGTTTGGGGTCGTTGTCTTGTTGGAACACCCATTTCAAGGGCATTTCCTCTTCAGCATAAGGCAGCATGACCTCTTCAAGTATTCTGATGTATTCAAACTGATCCATGATCCCTGGTATGCAATAAATAGGCCCAACACCGTAGTATGAGAAACATCCCCATATCATGATGCTTGCACCACCATGCTTTACTGTCTTCACAGTGACTGTGGCTTGAATTCAGTGTTTGGGGGTCGTCTGACAAACTGTCTCCGGCCACTAGACCCAAAAAGAACAATCTTACTTTCATCAGTCCACAAAATGTTGCGCCATTTCTCTTTAGGCCAGTCAATGTGCTCTTTGACAAATTGTAACCTCTTCAGCACGTCTTTTTTTCAACAGTGGGACTTTGCGGGGGCTTCTTGCAGATAGCTTGGCTTCACATAGGCATCTTCTAATTGTAACAGTACTCACAGGGAACTTTACACCTTCTTTCATCTTCCTGGAGCTGATTGTTGGCTGAGTCCTTGCCATTTTAGCTATTCTACCCATTCGAATGGTAGTTTTTCTCTTTATTCCACGTCTTTCAGGTTTTGGTTGCCATTTTAAAGCATTTGCGATCATTTTACCTGAGCAGCCTATCATTTTCTGCACTTCTTTATATGTTTTCCTCTCTCCAATCAACTTTTTAATCAAGGTACGCTGTTCTTCTGAACAATGTCTGGAACGACCCATTTTCCTCAGAATTTCAGAGAGGAATGCACTGTAACCAACATGTACAACATTTGCTGCCTTCCTTCCTTAAATAAGGGCAATAATTGCCACCTGTTTTTCAAAGAATGAATGACCTCACTAATAGAACTCCACACTGCTATTATTTTGAACATGCCCCTTTCAATTAGTGATTCAATTACACAGAATCAGCAGCATGCATGTCATGACTGTTGGGTCTGTTGGATTTCTATTACTCTACTACACCTGCTAGTAAATTATTTGCCATGTAGAAATATTTCTACCAAAAACAGTGATTGATCAGGTTAGTGATGTCTGACTGCTATTATATTGAACACAACTGCATGTAATTTATAAATTTAACACAATATAGAATAACTGCCTTTGCTGCCTTCTTTTTTTCAAATATTAGCTGTCTGGTGGTCATTCTGTTTAAATGGCTTTTCTGAGTCTCTGACTCGGCATAAGCCTACAGAAGGAAACTAGCATTTTTAGGAGGGCAGCAATGGCAGCCAACCTATTTTTCTCATTAAAACTTCTTTTAATTGGATTAGATCAGTCACTTAGGTATAAAAGGAGATGGCTAACAGGCAGTGCAAAGCAAAGGTTAGCAAACTGAGATTTCAAGTATATAATTAAAGAAGCTATAGAACATAAATTTATAGACTTAAACTTTCAAAAGACTTCTGATTGCCCAAACCCGTTATAGTTTTCCTTCAAGTATATTAAAAAATATAAAATGACATTGTTGCTGTCAATATAACAGAGACTCCAGGAAGGTGAAGCTCGGAACCAGGAACTGAGTCAGAGTGTCACTTCAGCCACCAGACCTTTGCTGCGTCAGATTGAGAATCTGCAAGCGACCTTGGCAGCTCAGACAGCATCCTGGGAGAAACTGGAGAAGAATCTCTCCGATCGACTTGGTAAGAACAGATATTACCTTTAAAATAGTGATTACATTATCACAGTATTCACATAGCCTGTACAGAGAGCAAAACTGTGGATGTACTGCTACAGGACAGCACGGCTGTGCAAAATAACATAAATATATGTGGTTTGCAATTCCGGGTAGGGGACACGCACGCTGCCCTACCCGCGCCGCTATTGGCTGCTGGGGATGTCGATCACTGGGTCCCAGCCGGGACTTGGTGATTGTCAACAAAGCTGGGAGAGACCTGTGTGTAAACAACACAGGTCTCTCTCCTGTCAGCATGGACATGCTGCTTTGTATCTCTCTGCACAGCGGAGAGATACAAAGCAGCATGTCTCCCAAGTAAAACACACACACGGTTAACCCTTTGATCGCCCCAGATACTAACGCCTTCCTGCCCAGTCATTAGTACAGTGTCAGTGCTTTTTATTATCACTGTATTAGTGTCACTGAGGATGCCCTTGGCAGTTAGTCAGTTCCCACCCCGTGTCAGACTGCCTGCCCCAGTCCTGCTAAATGTTGCTGATTGCCACCATTACAAAAAAACAAAAAAAAAACATTCCAGTATATATACTGCCGTTTAGACGCTATAAACCAAATTAATATACATTTACTGGGATTTTTTTTTTCTAGCAAAGACCTGTAGCAGAATACATTTTGGCCTAATTTTTATTTTTTTATTGGATATGTTTTATAGCAAAAAATCAAATATATATATATTTTCAAAATTGTCAGTTTTTTTTTTTTGTTTATAGTGAAAAAAAATAAAAAACAGAGGTGATCGAATACAACCAAAAGAAAGCTCTATTTGTGGGAAAAAATTTACATAAATTTATGTACAGCGTTGCATGTCTGCGTAATTGTCAGTTAAAGTAACGCAGCGCCGTATTGCAGAAAATGGCCTGGTCAGGAAGGGGGGTAAATCCTCTTGGGGGCAAGTGTTTAAAGAGAAAGGGCAGTAATTATCGGTATGTATTGAAGTGAGCTTCAGCACACAGGAAAATTACAGGAGGGGAGTTATGATGGATTACAATAAAACAGAACACCCATCTCTTATTCCTTAACCTCTTAGACTATTTCTAATTCTAAGACTCCTCTCTTTACCATAGCTGAATCCCAGACTTGGTTAGCATCAGCAGTGGAGAAGGACAGAGCATCTGCTGAGGACCTCCTGTCCATAAAGACACAAATATCTGCTATGGAGTCTCAGAACAGTCTCCTGCGACAGGAAAAGAGCCGCTTGCAAGCTCAGCTAGAAGTGGAGAAGTCCAGGCTATTTAAGATGGAGGAAGAGCACAGTAGGTAAGTAGAGACCTCTTTTTGGTGTTAGCTGTTAGAGGTTTCCTTCAGAAAAGGCAATAGTGGAGCTGCTGCCCAAAAACCCAGTACGATTCTACATTTCATTTCTATAGTGCAGGCAGGGGCGGACTGACAAACTCATGGGGCCCCCGGGCAATAGGGGATCATGGGGCCTCTGTGTCCTTGCCCAAACTCAAAAAATCCTATGAAAAAGGTACCAGGGGCATCTCATGGGGCCCCCTACTGACCCCAGGCCCTTGGGCTGTGCTCAAGTTTCCAAATGGTCAGTCCGCCCCTGAGGGCAGGTTAAAGTATGAAAGCGGAAAGTGCGTGAGAAATATGTAGGTGGCAATTGCTAATTTTTAACTTGAGCTCTTTGAGTTACTGATCTGAACCTGGAAGTTGAAAGAGGAATTCTCACTTTTCTCTGATTTTCATTTGCCACATTCTTTTTTTGGTCCATGGATCAGAAATCTTAAAGAAGGCAGACAGTGTGGGGTTTATTTACTAAAGCTGGAGAGTCCAAAATCGGACTCCCTTCTGCATAGAAACCAATCAGCTTCTAACCTCAGCTTGTTCAATGAAGCTTTGGCAATGAAACCTGGAAGCTGATTGGTTTCTATGCAGAAGTGAGTCTGATTTTGCACTCTCCAGCTTTAGTAAATAAACCCCTGTGTGTTCGGGGCTGAGCGCCTGCACCCACACAGATGTCATATTGGGAGCAGCATCAGTGATTGTGCAGCCACTGTGTCCCAGTTGACAATAAAGAAGTATGGCCAAAGTTATTTTGGCTATATATCTCCTATGAATCACAGGAGAGCGCTTTGTTCTGCTAAAGCCTGTTGTCAGCTGACATCACTCAGCTTGTCCAGGCTCTGGAAATATCCCAACTTTTAATTCGGAATCCACCCAGATGCTGGACTGGCAGCTGCCTCAGCCTCTTAGTGAGCTGTTGAGAGCCTCAGCCAGCTGCTCCTGCCCCTTCCACAGCCCGGAGCTCCAGTTAGTGCTGGAGGGGCAGAGCAGATAGCTAGTAACTGACAGTCACTGACTTTCTGCAGACTGAAGACCGAGAACTGCGTGATCATCAGTGTTTGCTCAGTTTTAGAGGTGGCAGGTGACAGATTTGATACTGCATCCACTTAGTTGAGTATGTTTTTTTTTTTTTTTAAACCCAAACCTCACTTTAAATGGGACTACCTGCACAGGGTATGCACAGAAAACCTGTGCATCACCATGTGGGTAAACACTGAACTCCACCAGCATATGGTTAGTACACCTAAAGGTGCTGTCACTTTACTCATTCAGGCCCTCTTGATAGTCCACCCTCCCCCTCAGTAAGTGATACTTGCCTACCCATGTTCCCATTGCTACCTCACCACTCGTTTGCTTTAATGGAGTGGGGCTTTTAGGTATGGGGAAGCAAATGACCTCCCCTATATGACAATGTACCAGGCCTGAACACTATCACATTGGCAGGGAAGTAATGTCATCCAACCAGGAAAGCTCTGACGCCATCCCACACACCATAGCATACACTGAGTGGACTTGTGGACTCAAACGTAGATTGATCTGTTTACCTTGCTGGGGAGGGCATGCTACTTTGCCTTGAAAAGCAGGTGACCATGTCTTTTTCAAAGCTGAACTTTAAAGCCTCATTCACACCATATGTGCATAAAAACTGATGGAAAAAACACACAGATTTCACTTGCAGAGACAACAGTTTACATCAGTTTTTCTGCACGTTTCGGTGACTTTTTATTTATAATGTTATCAGTTTTCATTCACATTTTTTTTTAAGCACAGATAGACATCACACCCTTTGTCATCACTTTCTCTTCTCTGTTTACAAGACAGTGTTGATGTCACGTCAGTTTTTTTTTGTGCACAGAAAACTGCCAACACGTTGCAGATTCCTGCACAGAACAAATTTGCATGTGATATTAGTGTTGAGGTGTGTACAGGGCACATAGAGAACAATTGTTTTCTTTGTGCCCTTGCAGAGCGCATGCAGAAAAACTCATGTCTCTGCACCATGATGTGAACATGGCCCCCCCCCTCTATTGTACAGTGCTGAGCAAACCCTTTGGCGCTATATAAACTCGATGTAATAATAATAATAATAAGTGTGCTGCACCTGGTTGTTTGCCTCTTCCAGAAATGACCGGTCAGAGCTGTTCTTCACTGACCCTCCATTGTTTTGTCCACCACCGTCGTCCTCTGGTCTTCTTCCAAGTTCCTGTTGCTCCTTTTCAGCCATTGAGCAGTCACGAAGGATGTAACTTTCCACATGTATACAGGAGTTATATCATTTCATTATATGTGGATTTTGGGGATCAACATAGTGTTCAGTGGGGCTGTTTGTTTTATTTTTTTTTTTTTTTTTTTTTTTTAATTTGCAATGAAAAAAAAACAGATTATTAGCCCTTAGAGTAAAAGTAAATGAAATATTCCATACATGTCTCTATTGCTGTAGCCGAGTTCAAGACAATTTTTTGCAAGCGTGGTTACTTCCTTGTATCAAACACTAGATGGCAGTCATTGAACATGTTTTGCACAACTCTTGCATGGACTCTACACATTTTTTTTTTTTTTTTTTTTCTTGGTCAATACTTGCACATCATCAGTCTCTATAAGGGCTGCAAGAATGCACATCCCCTCTTACCATAAAATGTTACTTATCCTACAGAAACCAAGTGGAGCTGGAAAATCTAAAGATGGAGTACAAGAAAATGGTTGAAGAAGCTAGAAAAGAAAAGGTTTGATCATACTTGGTTATTTAGGCCTCACTTCATCCTCTGCTTCTTTCCTGTCATGATTTTCATACTGAGGAGTTTTGTCTTTCAGAATTTGCTGACCAGTCAGTTGGAGATGGAGAAGATGAGGGTGGAGCAGGAGAAGAAGAAAGTCTTGTTGGCCCAGGAAGCTGTGAAAGAGAAGGTAGCGTGCATGTATGCGTCACTAAAGTTTTGTCTCCAGAGGTCATTAATACTTAGATGCCCAGGTAAAATTGAGCAGCATCCGTTAACATGAGAATAACTCTATAACTAAATTGCATATCTAAATAACTTTGCATATTAGGTTTTTTTTTGGTATACTGTTTAATAAAGACTCAGCATGCACAAAAGTGTAAAAAAATTTGTTATTAAACCTCCAACTTAAGGTTAGCCTCCAAGTTAACCATGACAATATGGCAGCAGTTAGTAGACATTCATCCAAGTACATCTAAAATAAACAGGTGTTGTTTGTATGTCCAAAACATATGCAAAGAAAAGCATTTATAATCTTGTGATCCACCTAACCTTGCAAGGCCACACAGCCACCAACAGGATGACAACACTTTTCAGAATCTGCAATTCTGAGTATTGAACAAGGAATAATAAACGCATTGCACTGCCAAAAACCAATGTGAGTCAATACTATACAGCAGTCTTAGCACAGGGTTTTGGCGCTGAAAAAAATGTGTTACCCAACATGCACTGACTAATTAACCTAATCTCTCAAGGGGACACCTTTACAGAGAGACTATGGAGGTGTCCATTGCTGACACCTTCTACAAATGCTAATTGTCTGGTTGTAATGATGATCCAGTGACCTCAGTACTTCCAGGCACAGACTCAAAGCAAGCATGCCAGTCAGGAGTTCTGACTTTTACTGTGACTTTCTAGTCGGCATGCTCCAAATCTGCACATCGGAAAAGTAGAGAAGCTAAAGACTGCCAAACAACTAGTATTCTTAAGAGTTCAAGGACAGCCCCCGTAATCTTTCATTGTAAGTTATTCAGAAATGACTTCTCAAAGTGATTACATCATATGTGATAATAGTGCTGGAGATGCCACTTTAGCATGCCCTAAATGTGCTTGATGAATTAGGGCCCAGCGCCTGCCACTATATGTGTTTGATAAATAAATAGTTCTTTAATTGAAATGTTTATTATTTCAAAGGAACGTAAATCCTATGGATTGCCTTCAGCAGAACCAGGCACTTCCACTCCAACACTGTCCAGATCCAGCTCAGTTAGCGGAGCCGATCTCACTGGTCTACAGACATCGCTTCTGGCACAGGTAGGCAGAGCTGAATCATGCTCTTTTTTTGTGTAATCTGTTCTGTATAAATCTAAATTAAAGTCTAAGGCATTTTTTCTTTTTATAGCCTTGTACTCCACATGTTAAGATTTGTGACTAATTTTTGCTTGGAAATGCTTTTAAAACCTTTTCTCTTAGTTGAAGTGCTGCTTCCTGCGTTGCAGAGCTCTGTATTGTCAGAGTTGAGTAACAGTCACACCCCCAAGCACATGTCTGGCCATTTCTGTTACGGAAAGCTGATTACAGAGTGCACTGGCTTTACCTGTGGTGCCTGTTGAACTGCACAGTCCAACTGGGTCAATGACCTATTCGCCCACATGTCTAGAGCCTGATAATGCTATTTCACTCATGGAGTGTTGGCACATACGTAGCTGGAGCCTTTCTTTATGTACACTTAGGACAATTCTCTCTCTCTCTCTCCCCCATATATATATATATATACAGTGGGGATCGAAAGTTTGGGCACCCCAGCTAAAAATTTGTATTAATGTGCATAAAGAAGCCAAGGAAAGATGGAAAAATCTCCAAAAGGCATCAAATTACAGATTAGACATTCTTTTAATATGTCAACAAAAGTTAGATTTTATTTCCATCATTTGCACTTTCAAAATAACGGAAAACAAAAAAATGGCGTCTGCAAAAGTTTAGGCACCCTGCAGAGTTAATATCTTGAACTGCCCCCTTTGGCAAGTATCACAGCTTGTAAACACTTTTTGTAGCGAGCCAAGAGTCTTTCAATTCTTGTTTGAGGTATCTTTGACCATTCTTCCTTACAAAAGTCTTCCAGTTCTTTGAGATTTCTGGGCTGTCTGTCACGCACTGCTCTTTTAAGGTCTATCCATAGATTTTCAATTATGTTGAGGTCAGGAGATTGTGAAGGCCATGGCAAAACCTTCAGTTTACGCCTCTTGATGGAATCCCCCGTGGATTTTCGAGGTGTGTTTTTAGGATCATTATCCATTTGTAGAAGCCATCCTTTCTTTAACTTCAGCTTTTTCACAGATGGCATCAAGTTACCATCCAAAATTTGCTGAAATTTTATTGAATCCATTTTTCCTTCTGTTCGTGAGATGTTCCCTGTGCCACTGGCTGCAACACAACCCCAAAGCATGATTGATCCAACCCCATGCTTAACAGTTGGACAGAGGTTCTTTTCATTAAATTCTGTGCCCCTTCTTCTCCAAACGTACCTTTGCTCATTCCGGCCAAAAAGTTCAATTTTAACCTCATCGGTTCACAGAACTTGTTTCCAAAATGCATCAGGCTTGTCTATATGTTCATTTGCAAAGTTCAAACGATGATTTTTGTGGTGAGGATGTAGAAGAGGTTTTCTTCTGATGACTCTTCCATGAAGACCATATTTGTACAAGTATCTCTTTATAGTGGAATAGTGTACCACAACTCCAGTGTCTGCCAGATCTTTCTGGAGGGATCGTGCAGTCAAATGTGGGTTTTGAATTGTTTTTCTCACAATCCTGCGAGCTGTTCTGTCTGATATTTTTCTTGGTCTTCCAGATCTTGCTTTAACTTCCACTGTTCCTGATGACTGCCATTTCTTAATTACATTCCAAACAGAGGATATTGACATCTGAAAACTCTTTGCTATCTTCTTATAGCCTTCTCCAGCTTTGTGAGCGTCAACTATTTTCAGTTTCAGTTTTCTAGACAACTGCTTAGAAGAACCCATGGTGCTGATTGTTGGGGCAAGGTCAGATGAGTCTGGGCATTTAAAACCTTTGAGCTTGACATCACCTGGTCTTCCCAGACGATGATTGAGAACAATCCATGACACTGGCAGGTCTCAGCTTGGCAAAGGGGGCAGTGCATGCTATAAATTCTGCAGGGTGGCCAAACTTTTGCAGACGCCATTTTTTTGTTTTCTGTTATTTTGAAAGTGTAAATGATGGAAATAAAATCTAACTTTTGTTGACATATTATAAGAATGTCTAATCTGTAATTTGATGCCTTTTGGAGATTTTTCCATCTTTCCTTGGCTTCTTTATGCACATAATACAAATTTTTAGCTGGGGTGCCCACACTTTCGATCCCCACTGTGTGTATATGTGTATATATATATATATATATATATATATATATATATATATATATATATATATATATATATATATCGGTTTGCCTTTATCTATTTTGCTATCTTGATGGGTTAACCTCTGTCCTTGTTTTCTTTTTTCATAAACCCAGGATGAGTCTCATGACCACCTCTATGGATCAATGACAATGTCCATCAGTGGTACAAACCTCTATGACGCAGTGCGGATGGGTGCCGGCTCCAGCGTCATTGAAAATTTACAGTCTCAGCTAAAACTGCGAGAAGGCGAGCTTGTCCAGCTTCAGGTAACAGACTGTTCAAGACTAAAAAAATAAATGTATGTGGTAAAATGTTTTTGTGTGTGACCACTTTATTACGTACCCTTGCTAGGGCCAAGGAAATATCCCCATACCATTATACCACCACCAGCCTGAACCATTGATACAAGTCAGGATGGATCCATGCTTTCATGTTGTTTACACCAAATTCTGACCCTGCCATCTGAATGTCGCAGCAACCAGTCTGCCCATTCTCCTCCTTTTTCTATGTTTTATCTCTAACAACACTGCAAGTACAGAATAAACACTCTTTTTAAGCTGCCAGAAATCCAGCGCACTGTTGACTTCCTCTTTGGACTGACAACACAGTGCCTCTGCTGTACTGAGCTTCCAACAAGTGTTGTGAGCCATGCATGCTGGAATTAGACTTTGCCTATCTCTGAATTACCCTCCGTATTTAATAGCTTGCAGTGACTCTAATAAAAAGATTTTGCGGCAGGAGTTTAGGCATCCCTTTTAATAGCTGGGCTTTCCCACTTATTTGTAAAACTCCAGTTTTGATTTAATTTGCAATTATTTTTATAGAACTGCAAGGTTGGCTTGATACAGCTAAAAAAAGAAAACCCTTTCAAATACCTAGTGAAGTGACTGGCCTCAGGTGATTAAACAAATCTTCCTACATAAGTTGTACCTGTTTATCTACAGATGTATGTCCCCTACATTCATGCAAAGTGCAAAATTTACACAGGATCACTCAGCTATAGCAGAGCCATACAAAGCAGTGTGCTGACAGTGAAGCACACACACACTCACACAGCCCCCATAGTAAAACAGGACACCGTTAACCCTTTGATCGCCCCAGATGTTAACCCCTTTATTCCCAGTGCCATTAGTAAAATGTCAGTGCTTTTTATTAAAACTGATCACTGTATTGGTGTGTCACTGGTGATGTCAGTGACACCAAGTCAGTTCCCCCCAGTCTCAGAATGCCCGCTGCAGTCCCGCTATAGGTTGCTGATCGCCACCATTACTAGTAAAAAAGAAAAAAATTCCAGTGTATATATACCGCCTTTTGTAAACGGTATAACTTTCATGTAAACCAATTAATTTATACATATTGGGATTTTTTTTTAGAAGAAGAATATATTTTGGCCTAAATTTATGAAGAAATTTGATTTTTAACATTTTTTTACTGGACGTGTTTAATAGCAAAAAGTCAAAAATATTGTTTGTTTGTTTGTTTCTCAAAATTGTCGGTCTTTTTTTTATTTATAGCGCAAACCATGCAGAGGTGATCAAATACCACCGAAATAAAGCTCTATTTGTGGGGAAAAATTAACGTAAATTTAATTTGGGTGTAGCGTTGCATGACCGCGCAATTGTCAGTTAAAGTAATGCAGCGCCTCATTGCAAAAAATGGCCTGGTCAGCAAGGGGGTAAATCCTCTGGAGAGCAAGTGGTTAATTGAGATGCTAAGACATTTGCCTGGCCTTACTGTTATTTCCCAAACCAAATATTTTGCTGAATGAGTGGCAGCCAGATCTGATCTAATTCTGTTGCTAATTGCAATAGTGCCTTACTGTAATGTTTTCACTTCAAGCTTGAAATTGGGAACTTAGAAAAAACTCGCTCGATACTTGCTGAAGAAGTTGTTAAGTTGAACAATTTGAATGATGAGTTGGAAGAGAAGGTGAAAGAGATTCCAAAACTGCGGGCTCAAATGAAGGTAGGTAGACATGGATTGTGAGTAACAGAGGCTACTTGCACACTGATCTACAACAAAAACGCATAGACGTGTTTAACACGCTTTTGCTGTGCTTTCTGAGCGTTTTTAAAGGACACGCAACCTAAAAACTGCATCAAAAACGCTTCCCAGAGGCGTTTTTGAAGTGCTTTTCAGGTGTTTTTTTCAGGCATTTTCCATTGATTTCAATGGGAAAAGGCGTTCTTGGGGCGTTTTTTTTTTAACTCGCCAAACATGCCCCAAAGTTGCTGCACCACACTGCAAGTGCAATGTCTCAGTGTGAAAATATACATAGATATACAGTCACACAGGGAAGCATTTTTCTTGAGCTTTTCAGGCGCGTTTTATAACGCAAAAACGCTTCAAAAACTCCTCAGTGTAAAAGTAGCCTAAGAGCTACAATTTCTGAGGATAGTTCATCTGAACCCGCAGATGAATTGTTGCTGTATGATATTATTTTGATGAAGATGGTTTCAGCTTGCAGCAATGATCTCTTATCCCACCACCTCATTTTGCCTTTGGCATTAACCTTTACTTCACATTTCAGTACCACACTTCCTGTATGTCCGGTGTGAATGCTGAGCATTGTTCACCAGGGGATTACTAGTCCCTAGATGTGGTGTGGCTGCATTTGTTTTCTTTTACTTTTTTCCCTTTTTATTGCCACCTAGTGGCATTAACACACCTCCGCAGATGTGTAAATGCTGCTGCCAACATATGACATTTGAAGTAAAAGGGATAAAAGATATTGCAGCTCAACAGTCCATGGATGTGGTGGCTGTGTTAGTTTTCATTACGTTTTGTTCAAGTACAGAATATA